CAGAAAAGTACCTTTTAAATTAAATCCAGCATTAGTCCTACCTGCTGTAAATCCGTTAAGATTGTGGCAGCTTACATTAGTGAGAACTCATACACCCCATTCATTTCAATACATTGGTTTTACATCAAAATAATTTTGGATTTAGCCTTATATTTATATGTGAGTCAGTTCCTGAAAAATATTTGTGTGGAAAGGGGGTAATTATTATCTTTAATTGTTTAGTCATGATGGCAAGTACACTTAATACTGAAGCAATAGTAGCTGAAAAGCCACAAGAAGATCTTAAGAAACTCTTGTTCCTAAACCCTCTTCTATTCAATGGAACCTCCTCCCAATTTTGTACGTAAATACTACGCAAAAATGTGTACTAATCCCCCTTTTTCTGTAGCCTTCTAAAAATAAACATATGCAATACAGTTCACAGTATAATTGTTCTGCTCCCCACGCTATCTTAACTACTTGGAAGGTGAACTGGCTGCACAGAGACTGGAGGCCATATATTGAATCAAACAATAATTTATTAACTGACAAGAATTTTAGATTTTCTCTCCGTCTGAGTCTCACTACATAGTCTTTATGAGGAGAGGTAATGTCTTTGAGAGATAGACACAGTTCTGACCAAACGGAGGCACTTGAATCCTTATTTCTTCTTATTGTCTCTTTCTTGTATGGTGTTCAACTGTCTCTAAGATGGTCTCAATATTTAACTCTGACTAGACTTGAATGCAACTCATACAGCTGTGACTGGGCGTGCTATTTGGTAGACCCTCTGGCCCTCCTCTCTCTTCACCTTCATCACAAAAAGGCTGACTTCTCCAAGAACCAAAGAGGCTGTCTAGACTGACCCCCCCCCCCCCCCAGAAACTGTACATAAAATATTAATCCCTCCAACTAAAAAGGGCTAAACTAGGGGCAAACAGTGAGGGTCTTCATGTGGCACAACAATAATCAGCATTAAAACTTTGGTCTAGTTCTCACAACAGTTGTAAATCTATGGCCCCTTCGACACTGTCATATAATCCAGATTATCAAATCAGATAAACTATCTGCTTTGAACTGGATTATATGACTCTACACTGCCGTATAAACCGGTTCAAAGCAAATAATCTGGATTTTATAAGGCAGTGTAGACCGGGCCGAAGTCAATCATACTTAATTTGTACTGAAAAGTAGGAGACAAATTAGTCATGCCTAATTTAAATTGCAATGACTCCAAGGGAATTAAAGTGAGATTAACATGCTTTGGATGCGGCTCATTGATTGCCATTGCTCTTTGACAGTCAAGCTCTTTTGTTTGCTATTCAGCTGTTCTTCTCTTCCCCTTCCTCCTCACTGGTAATTTGTTTGTTTGTTTGTTTGTTTAATCTAATCCTGTAAATTCTTTCTGGCATCACATCTGATGTTTTAGATAGATTCCAGATTTTTATAGGAATGTTAGGGAACATTTTATGTTGTTTACAATGTTTCAAATGAGTCCTCAATCTAAGCTGCTCCCCCCATTCAAAAATAGTTTCACATGATCTTTGCCATCGAAACAAATTCTCTTCCTGTTTTTTAATTGGTAAATTTAACATATCTGTCGGAGAAAAGAGTCATAAACTAACTTAAGCCTTTTTCCTTAGTTCTTTTATTTAGACACCTCTAGAAATTAAAATATACATTTGGAACACATCTTTGGGAGAAAACACTTGTCCTTGGATCTAATCCCAACATGAGAAAAATATTGTTCTGTATCCCATTAGTACAAAAAACTGGAAAACTGCTGAACACCTTTTTTCTTCATTTTCACCCCGTTTAATTTTTTTAAATGTATTTCTTCCATCGCTCCACTTGCTGTTGCTACCCAGAAGGAAATTACTCTAACTAGAAGCAAATAAAATTATTGTAATTAGCAAATAGAATTCTAATTAGAGAGGTAATTACTAATGGTAGTAACTGCTAAAGGATTGCACTATGAACCTGAGGCTAGGATCTAGCCTGATTTGGGATACTTTAAGCAAAAATGAGCTGGACAGGGATTTCATTCCCAAACTGCATACCAATATAGAACACATGTTCATTTTTATTTGTATTACTTGAGTGGTTCTTCTATAGACATTTAAATTTACACCCTATTCCCCCCTTATTTGTAGGGAACTTTTTTTACTCAAAAATTCTAGTCGTATGCATCAGTATATATCAGGCATGCGCAAACTTTGGCCCTCCAGGTGTTTTGGATTTCAATTCCCACAATTGCAACTGGTTTGCCCATGCCTGGCATATTCAGTATCCTACCCATATGCATTCCTTGAACCTCCATCTGTGGGGTATAAAAGTGAGCGACATTAAGTTCTGTATAACAGTAATTTCCTATTGATCTCCATGTCAAAATGTTAAAAACACACTCAGAGAATTTATCTAGGTTATAAAAACATTGAGCTTTCTGGACTGAATGACAAACAAAAACCATCAAAAGTACTTCTGTTACTCATGTAAAACCGATGGGAAACTGATGAGGCTGATACTATAAAGCAGACAGCAAATACATATATTTTGCCTCAAATAGAAAGTGTATATTTTATCTAGTTTTGTTTCAACTTGATGCCTTGAGGCTTGTGCTAAGCAAAAGGTAGGATAATAAATAAATAAATAAATACATACATACATACATACATAAATGGTATCCATAAGATATTTGGTGGGCATTTTACATCTTTTATTGGCTAGGGCGAAATGCTCTTGAAAGTGTGCATGATGTATTTGATATGTAATATAGGCTTTCATTTTGGTTGATTAATGCTTTTTAAACTACATATATTTCTAGCTTTTTGGATTTAACTCATATTAGAAACTGCTTTGGATCCCGTGTTAGAAAAAAGATTGCATTTGAATTAAATATGAGGGTGAGTCAAAACTTTTTGCCTTCTGTGTCATAAAAAATGTTATGAATGAACATTTAACAGCAGAAGTTGCTACAGATCATAGCCTGAACTGTCCTTTACATAAAACTACCGTTCAACGTAGTCACCATCAATTTGTACACATTTGCACCATCATTTAACCCAGGCATCAAAACCATTTTGGAAAAAATCAGGGTTTTGCCACGTGACCCATGATTTAAAGCTGGTTTAATGTCATTCAAGTCATTGACTCTGAAACCATGTAGGTTGTCTTTCAGAGATCCAAACAGATAAAAGTCAGAAAGGTCCAAATCGTAAACATTCTTCAAGTGATTATGAATTTCCTTAGGTGCACAACCTTATTTTGTTAGAAATTCAATGACAACTCATTCTTTTAGCTGCAGATTCATAGTTCTAATCAGTCAATTGGAAAAAGCAAATACTATATCAGTAGAGGAAGGTTACCTCTCTTATATCATGCATAGATAGTCCAGTAGCTGTGAAAGAAATAAAAATAAGAGTAATGGAGGCATTACTTTTTGACCCACCCTCATATATTTTATAAAGCATGTAGAAGGGTTTTGCATCAACCATCTCATGTTATACTCCTCTTCAGAGAGAAATTATAAATACTGAGATTCATGAATCATGGTGGTGTTTCAAAGGAGAGAGAATTATACAGAAAAAGAAAGACTAAGAGATTAATGAAAAGTTCTCTCATTTAAGAATTCAGGATCATGCTCTGTGAACAAAGAAAGATTCACATTTGGAAATAGCTGGGATGCACTTATGGATTGAAATCCCAGAAGTGGAAAGAAAAGCCATTCCCCCATTCCCATCCCCAGTTTTATTATCTCAGCAGTGATTACTAATGCTATTAATAACTCTTTGGGAGTAAACATTTTGGGGGGTAGGCTTTGCTTTGTTCTGAGCGCAGCTTACAAGGCGAGGGTCTTTTCTCCTTACACGTCCACACATCCTCATTAAAAGCTGCAAATCCAGTGACTGAGATAGTGTGCCCCTTAAAAGCACTTTTATTATCATACTGGAGGACTCTCCATGGGGCAACGGTGGGCTGAAAGAAGATCAGAACAGACTATTTTAATCACAACTTTGCATATATCTTAACTGTATGTGCTTTACTTGTAAATCTCTGTAATTTGTTAACCCAATTTGGAGAAAAGGTGAGACATAAATAAACCGATGGGTGGAGGGTAGATGTCGTGGTGATCAGCAAAGCTTTCTCATTTTATTGTTTAACAATGGGGAGATGCAGAATTACCCCCCTCCCCCCCAATAATGGCAGTAATAATTTGGAGTTGAGTAGGACTGGATGGCCCTTGAGGTCCCTTCCAACTCTATGATTCTATGATTTTATGAAGGCACACAACTATCACCACAAAACAACAGCAGCATATTACAGCATAGGCTATGATTTCTTCCAAAAGTTGTTCTGGTTACATGTGAAACTTCACTTTACACTCCAGCAACGCTGGCAGGTTAGGAGATAATATGAGGGGGTCACCGAAACTCAAGAGTTGACTTGAACATAGAAAACACAAACAATGATTCACAAAGTATATCAATGTTTTTACTATGTGGAAAGAGGGTCAAAGCGTGTTTGTAAAGAAGCACAATATGTTGCCTTTCTGCTATTTATCTGTCTTTAAATGAGTATACATAAAATGGTTTGAGAGAAGAATTAGCATTCAAATATATGCATTTAGCAATGTATAAGGCGTAACCAGAATTGACTGCTACAGCACAGATGGAAAGCAGCTTCTCAGGGGGAGATTTGAACCCCATTTGCTTTCATTTGTCATCTCCATGCTATACCAGCTCTCACACAAAAAACTTAGAACAATTAACTGTAAAATGATCTCTGCTAACATACTACTTTTAGATTTTAGCTGTATTTGGGAGCCAAGTATGCAGCTGGAGCGCAGCCAAGGCTGAACTCTGTCTGTTTCCTAGTCATGTGAAGCATTTTAAGTTTAAATATTCATGTCATGAAGAGATTGAACCAAATAGATGATTTCCAAAGACATCACATGTGGGGAGCTGTAGGCTTTGTGGGCATGTGGCAAGAGGCTAGCCTCAGCACTTTTTCCATGGGGCCTTGGGCTCGCCACAGTTGTTGTAGCACTGTTTTGGAGGATTTTGTTACTCATGAGGGAGTGAGAAGAGCAAGGCAGGAATTCCCCTTGGAAGGATTCCAAGCAATAATCACATCACCCAACGTATGAGCCGAATTCCTGCTGCACTAAATTGTGTGACTCACATACATCCTCAACACTCTCACACAACACACAGCAGAGTCCAGTTTGCAGGAAACTTCTTATCCATCTGCTGCACCTAAAAAACAGGTGGGCTGTTGTTAAAGTAGGAAGCCTCTTTGGACCAACAGAAAAACGAGAGGAAGGATGTATTCGATGAGCACAGCTGCTGGGAGATGAGGTTACAATGTGAAGCTAAACAAAAGGAAGGAAAGGAAACAGATCTCTCTTGTGTACAGTGCACTGTGAGATGGGAGCCAAGCAAGTAGCTGTTTGACATCACTAAGGCTGAGCATTGGATTACAACAGGGACTTACTTGGCAAGGGAGTGGGGGAACCGCCTCCCTAGCCCTTGAAGGAGCACAACTTCATTTAGCTGCCGTTCAAGCAAGGAAACTGGGTGTCCGAAAGTGTGACTCAGCTGACCACTTTGGCTGTTTGCCATTCCAAACCCACACAGCTTTGGGTGAATGTGAGTTCAAGCCGGACTGGAGCCTTGAATTTTAACAGCCCAGGTCCATCCACTTGTTGGACCCATATTCCGTAAGTAAAGTTTTGCATGGCAAAGAGCACTAAGCAACAAAATGTACACAGTTATGATGAAGGACCAACTTGCTCCATATAAAGGCACACTGGAGTGGTTGCATGGAAATGTGAACAGATATTTGTTGTAAATGTATATATACTGTGGGCTTGCACCCCCACCCATGAATGATTTATTACTGCTACTGTAAAAAAATAGAAACTTTTAAACTAGAATTCATGAATTAAATTAGGACAATTTCGAAATAAAAGATGAAAAATCTACTGTAAGCCATTAAAGATAAATAAAAAGAATTATGTTTTTATATAATCTGAATTCAACGGCTATTAGCATTGCTAGAGAGTGATACCTGTTTCATTATTGCAGCATTTTCATTATTATAAATTGGCCATTGCATTTAGCATAATGCGTCTTCATATTTTTGGTAGCTGGAGGACTTAGAGAAAGAGGAGCTAAGCAACTTTATGAATATTAACAACCGCTGACTGTTAAACTGATTCACAACTTATAAATATTCTAACTGCACTGTTTAATTTATATTCTAATGAAGGGTTGATTGCACACACAGAGAGAGCATTATGATGTTTCTTACAGTATAAAACAACATTTTGAAAGGATGAGGTCAAGTTGAGTACATTTGCTAAGGACTGAGCACTGTCCATCGCAGCAGATCAGGATTTGGTAAGATGACTTGAAAAATTTCAGATGGTACAGACTGCAATTGCTGAAATCTTCATGGAGGCAGAGGGCTATGTAACATGGTTTTATGTTCCTGTGTTATAAATGCCATTTCCTAACTGAAAGCATGGGGAAAGTTTATTAAACTGCAAAAACTTTGTTTTTGCGGGACATCTTGCAGCACATTTAGCTTTGAATATGTTTTAGTGGATTTTAACTATGAATTGTAATACTGTTATGTTTAATTCTGTTTTAATGTTTGCATATTTTAAATTATGTGGTCATACTTTTAATTATAAGCTGCTTTGAGTCTCCTTCAGGGGGGATAAAGTGGGGTATAAATAAACATAACAACTACTACAACAACAACAATCATGTTTGCTGTGTATTAATCTTGATGTGTATCTAATAATAATAATAATAATAATAATAATAATAATAATAATAATAATATAGTATTTCAATGAATATCTCATAGAGTCGTCAACAATTCAACATAGCTTGTGGCAGCCACAAAAACGAAGTTTCTTGAGTATAACAATTACTTTCAAAGTAAGTGCCACACAATTGAACAGAAAATAGCATTTTCAAGCCAGGAACAGCTTTTTTTTCCTCTAAATTTTGTTACATAGTGTTATGCTATGCTATGCTATACTTCACTTGTGTGCACAGTTCAGCTTGATGCTTTCTATCTTTAAATCCATTAAAAGCTTGGGCCAAAGGTATCTGAAGGACCATACCTGCCCATCATCTTTGGATACGCCGCTTTGGAGACCTTCCAGCCAGGATTTATAAGATTGACAGGCACTAGAGATAACAAGTCTTCTCAATGGTGGCACATACACTATGAAATTGTCTCCTAAATGTTAATTGGTTGGTTATAGCTGTGCTGCTTTTAGAAGAATTTTTTAAAGTGATCAGTTCTCCCTCGTTTTTAATTGAAAACTTTTATTTTACGGTATCTGCTCTTGGCATGTATATAGGGCTGAAGATGTTTTGTTTAAACTGTAACTACTGTTTGGTACAATATTGTTAGTACATTTGCATTGCTTGTTTGCTGTAATTCAATTTGGTTTGAAAAGTGATTAAGAAATGGATCAAAGAAAGGCAGGCAAGAGTAGTTGGGGTTTGTGTTTGTTTTCTCAAATCGGCTGTTGACGTATGGTAACCCCATGAATTTAAAAGCATTTTTAAGGCAAGGAACATTCAGAGGCAGTTTTGTGAATTCCTTCCTGTGAAATATAGCCTACAGTACCTGCGATTCATTGGGAATTGCCCTGCTTTGATTCCAAGAGCCCTTCGACACAGCCAGTAACCCAGAATATCAAGGCAAAACATTCCACAATATCTTCTTTGGAGTGGGTTATCTGAGTCCACATATATTTCAGTTCAAAGTAGAAAATGGTGGGATTTTATTCAGCTGTGTGGAAGGGGTCAAAGTGTGGTTAATTGTTCAAATTGGGGGCCCACAAGAGGTCCTGGATGATCATATTGTCATTCTGCATCTGCCTATAGACACACAGCTTCTTCTGACTTCTCCCCCTTTCCATCACCAGCCAATACATGGCCATATTGGAGGACAACATGAAGAAGATAGGTTTTCAGGGAAGTGGGTCATTGCATGAGAGCGGTAGAAATTTTCAGTCTCTGCTACAAGAACAACAGAAAGATATATATGGGCATAACTGGGACTTACATCTGCATATATTAATTACAGGACGCCAGCTTGAGTGTTTCAGAAGTCCTGGAGATTACTTTCACCATTGCACGCCATTATAGATGAACAGGCAGGTACATAAGCAGTTATTTCTCAGCTGTCCCCTCTTTTCTGTTGGCCAGCTCATGGCCAATTCATTGGGGTGGAACTTAACTTGAAATTTTCATCACACAGAGCACGTAGTTTGCCATGGAACTATAATCCTGCCTTGCAGCAATGTGTTTGAAGTTACAGAAGGCAGTCCTCTGTTTGAAGCATTGTCAAAGGGCAATCCCCAGATGTCCTCTATTCAAAACACTGTCCAGTCCAAGGCTGCTTTAAAGACAGAGAACCATAAGCAGAGAGAACATTTCTTAAAGTAGCCCACTATACATTAGTAGCACATGGAGAGCAGATTGAACAATCACATAAGTCTCTGGTTCATAGCCTTCATGATAGTGACATGTTCTGTGTTTCTATTTATATTGTAATGTTTGTATCTAATTTTGTTTCTATACATATAAAATAGCAAAGATAATGAGTATGTTTACAGTTAGCTTTTTATGTCTTTTTTGGTGATGCATATGGGATCACACTTCCTATTAACTATCTGTACATTATGAGTACTAGACTCAAGTCTAATATTTCAGCAGTTTTCTGTGTAATTTGCTGCATTCATCTTCACAAGTCTATTAAAAATCACTGAACCAATAAACAAGATGATCAGAAAGGCACAGTGGCATCCATTACACTTATAAATCTGGAGTGACCCTCTAGATATTTTTGGACTGCAGCTTCCATAATTCACAAATATTAGCTCCACTGGCTAGAACTGATAAAAACTGTAGCAAAAAAACCCACAAACATCTGGGTGGCCACGGATGCCCACATTGTTGCGAATTAAAGGCATGTTTATAGTTCTTTTGTTGCTTCGCTGAATTCTTGGTAGTTTTGTTTGTCCTGTCCCCCTGAACTGCTGAACTTGCTGACCAAAAGGTCTGTGGCTCAAATCCGGGGAGCGGGATGAGCTCCTGCTGCTAGGCCCCTGCCAACCTTGCAATTCAAAAACATGCAAATTTGAGTAGATCAATAGGTACAGCTTCGGCGGAAAGGTAATGGTGCTCCATGCAGTCATGCCAGCCACATGATCTTGGAGGTGTCTATGGACAATGCTGGCTCTTCAGCCTAAAAATGGAGGTGAGCACTAACACTCCAGAGTCAAACACGACACAATATCAAAAGGTTCCATTCTTTAGTAACTGTTAAAGTGAGAAGAAATATCATTATATGGTTGAACAATTCCATAATATGTTCCAACATCAGTCATTCCCAATCTTATAGATTTCATACCCTAACAATCATTATTTCAAGAGTCCCACCACAAAAGGGAATAAACTATAATTTTCAGTCTTGTGAGTTGCATTGAGGCCTCTTTCTGGGAGAAAACCAGCAGATAAGTCAAATAAATAAATAATGTTGATTCACTGAAGGGATGAAGATGAGGATTTTCGATTACATCTTCCCAAGATCCCAAATGAAAGGGTTATTTTTATTCTGGTTATGTGCTTTGAAATCAACTCTTAACTTATTTTAGAGGTTTGCCATTGCCTACCTCTAAGGCCGAGAGAGTATAACTTGCCCAATGTCATCCGGTGGGTTTCCATGGCTGAGTGGGAAGCCTGGCTCCTATGGTTTACTCAACAATAACAAAGAGATATGATCTCCAACAACCACCTTCGCCTTGGCATGTAAGACAAGAGGATTTCCTCTACAGAAAATGTCTACACTGCATTTGTTGAATGGAACATCTGCACTGAGGTCATTGGTTTAAAAGCAGGAAAAGAAATAGGTATAATGGAAGATTGGATGATAATTAGATTTTTTGCTCTGTACCGGAGAGGAGGAGTGCACAGACGTCAAATACTTAGAGAAGAACAAATGTAAAATAAAAAGAATTATCCTTTGTTAATGTTGCTGTCATTTTTTACTTGCTGGCAGGACAAATGCAGCAGAGATATACTGTGAGGGAATAAGCCATTTCTAAATATTTTTCTTTTAAAAATAATAAACTGGTGAAAGCTTGGCATAGGAAGAAGCCTAGATTAGGATGGTTGGGATCCAAGAGTCATTCCAAAAACAGGGCCTCCCTTTTCTGCTTATGTGCAAACCTTACCTGTGGAAGATCATTTTTAAAGATGTATCAGATTAAGCTAAATTGTACAATTGAGAGATGAGACATTAACATCTTTCAAGCCCAGAGAACAAATCATTATGAATATTCCTTCAATTCCTTGGTGTCTTTACATTCATAATGTCACAGGGACTAGCCTTCCCCAACTGAATGACCTCTCAATGTGTTTCACTACCATTATCACCATCATCAATCTAAATGAATGGGTTGTGTGGTGTGCCGTCACTCTTGGGGGCTATTAGTCTTAATGAAGGAGGGATGGACGTGGCACCTTTCCCCCAAGGGATTGCTTCTTGCCCTCTATAGTAAAATTAAAAGATATCTGGGCAGGGGGAAACAAAGAATCCCACCTCTGCCACCAAAGCAAGGGATGAAAAGGTATTATAAATGACCGATGTTATTGGTAGTATTAGCCGCCACCACCTCAGCTTTATTGGTCTGAGGAACCAAAGGTGTGAATGTGTTGTAGGTAAGGTGTGTTTGCCCTGGTTTCTTCTATTGCTTCTTAACTGGCTGACTGGACTTTAAAAGTGCTTGACAAACTGAAGCTGACACCAGTTAAAAGTGAACTAGAAAAGGTTTATTGAGCTTTAAACAAACATCTACTCATGGAATGAGCGGTACAGAAGCGTAATTCAGTTGCAGAGACTTAGTTGAATTAAACAGATCTACTGACAAATAAAGCTTTTATTAACTGTGAGTTTCCTTAAACACACTGCTCTATCCTTAGAAACAGTATCTCTTAGAGAACAGACTCCTGTCTGTCTCACACACAGGGCAATAAGATATCTTAAACTTCTCTTAAGTTTAATAAGACAAAACTCTCTTTTACTGGTCCTCTCAACACAGTAAAACCCTAGCCTTTGTCTCAACCTTATTCCCTAACCTTAAGGCTCACTTTAAAAACTCTTCTTCCCTGTCAGAACTCTATCTAGCTTCCTCTCCTAAAATCCTATCCTCTGTGTCTGATGTCAAGACACTTCTCTCTCTGTCAAAAGCTGACAGCCACTTTCCCTCTCTCAACCGACTCCTCCCGTAATTGCTCTGACCAATCAGGAGTCGGCTTGACTCCTCCTCCTGCCTCTGCCTGTCTTTCAAGATGACAGCTACTGATACTCAGGCTCCGGCCTGGTCGCCTAAAAGGTAGATTTCACTACACCTCCTATAGGAAACTGGAACTCCCAAAAACCCAAAACACTGTAAATAGCTCAAGATAAGTTTTATTTATCACAAAGTCATTTCTTCAAAGCAATGAGCTGGAAAACTTTAGAGGGGTGAAGGAAAACATACATTACAGTCTCAATTAGCCCTGGGTCCAAGGTGTTTGAAGCTGAGAAGCCTCACCAAGTTTCCTCTTTCCTCAATGGCTGTGAATGCCGGAGCAAACCACAACCCCAGTTCAGATGGCTATGTTTTGAAGACTCAGGATCTTCCTCTGGTGCCAAAAGAACTGGCTCGAAGGTGCTTGGGAACTCCTCAATGTTATCCAGGACTATCTGGACATAAAGCATGAGTCCCAAGGGTAAAAAACCTCAGAACTGGTGCTAAGAGGTAACTTAAATCAGGGTCCTTTAGATTCAAGTCTTTTACTCACGTCCATATCGTAGGAACTCTGATGGCAGAATGAAGAAGAAAAAGGAAGTTCTCCCCTCTTGCAGGAAGAGGTGGAGCCAAACAGTACTGATTGACAGCTACAAGCAACCAATCCATACAACTATACATAAGCAGGGTAAAAAGGGGCAGGATTAAGCATGATACAACAGTTTAAATCTTACAACTAACAGTTCTATACATAGGTGGCGCCACTCGCGCCGTCACACTCCCGGCCTAGATTTTCGGACTTTCAAAAATCTAAACAAAAATGAAGTTAAACACCTTTAACTTTTATAACTCTAAGACTGTAGGTGTTGCGAAAATAACACAACCATATAGCTAAACAGGCCTGTCAAATAAGGGGGGGGGGGGAAGCTGAGCTGCGTGGGATCTCATAACTTCCAGTTTAATTTTTAGTGGTTTCCTCCATACTTTGACATAAGTTGAGGCACTTTGAGATATTGATTTGTATTGGTTTTGACTTATTTTGCAGATTATCAACAGTAAATATCATGGTGTGGGTACTTTTGGAAGCTTCATGAGATGCACATTTGAGCTCAGCAGGCTGTACTATTGCCAACACTGATTTAAACCTTACTTTAAACACTTGCCCTTTAAAATGAAACATCACTGTCTTCGCCAAAAATCTAAAGAAGAAGAAAAATCAAATTATGGACCAGACACTTTCAAAAAATCATGCTTATCTCTTCCTTTCCCTCCTCACTTTCCAGAACTACTTGGTGTCTTTTCATACATGGATGCCTATGAACCATCTTGCACAGAAGGACAATGAATTAAGTCAGGTATGTATTAAATTATTGCTGTAGCTGTTTCCTCAATAAAATAATCTAGGGCATCTCAGTTTTTGTTTGTTTCTATGGTGATGGCATATAGCAGATTGGTTGGGGTTTCTTTGGAATAAAGTAATAATAAACCAAACGTACAAGATGCTACAGTAAAAAGATAGGGTGTTATACAGATGGGGTTTGTCAGAATAGGACTGTGACTGGCTTAGTCTGATCCAGTGATCGCCATCAGGGAGTCAGTAGTGCTTTTACATGAGTGGAAGAGCTTTGCTACAAAGGTAGCAAAGCTCTTCCCCAGCATGGTAAGGAAAAACACACACAGATGCAGCTAGTTACAAGGAAAATGAAAGCTTGTCTACACTGCTGAAAAAAAATCCTAATCTGCATTGATCCTAAAGTTGTTGTTGTTGTTGTTATTATTATTATTATTATTATTATTATTATTATTATTATTATTATTATTTACTCCATTTATATTCTGCCCTTTTCAACTCCGAAGGGGACTCAGAGCGGCCTTACAGATTAATCAGCAATTTGATGCTAAATATAAACATATAACAAATAAACAGTTACATTAAAACCAAAGCATTAAAACAACACAATTTAAAACCAATTATTAAAATCAGCACATCCAAAATCATAATCCCAAACCGTTCCATTTGTCAGTTCACTATTCCTTATTCTCCTGTTGCATTAAAACCTTGCTATTGGAAAGCTTGGTCGCATAACCACATTTTTACTTTCTTTCTGAAAGTCGGGAGGAGTGGGGCAGCTCTAATTTAACTAGGGAGGGAGTTACATAGCCAAGGGGCCACCACTTGAAACTTGGCCACACAATCTCCAATCCTATGCATTATTTTCAATGGCATAGCCATGGGTGCTCCACTTCCTCCACTCTCCTGTGTCTGAATATGCATATTTCCTATTAAGCAGGAGTGCACTAATACTGATATGCAAATACCTGCACACACTTTCCTCCTTAAACATTTTTTTGAAAATCATACCTGGAAAGAACCAGTTCCTCACGGATCAATTAAATGCCTAGTGCATGTCACTTCTCATCAACCTATTTTGCCCACCACTAACACTTCCACAAGGGTCCAAGCCACTGTAGGTGAATGGCATGAGAATGACCTGGGGACTCTTGCTTGGGATAGATCAGAATATTTCAATGTATATGCATATAAAACCACATGAAGCCACTGTGTTATTAAAGCACACTGTATTGTGATGTTATAGACAAATATGACACACTATTAACTGATTGTGAGATAGGTTGTAGTCAAAACGAGACAATTAACCTCCAATTCATGGCTGCATTAACTTTCATGCTCCAACAACAATACATTTTCAACTGCAAGTAAATGTTTTCTTTATGTGAGTTACTTAAATTATAATTTTATAAATGACGATTTTCAGTACCTGAATTTAACAATGTAGTATAATGTATATGTTGTTGTAGATATTGTAGTTATAAGAACAAGTCTTTAGGACATAATGTTGGTGTCTTTTATGATCTTACTAAGTGCTTTTGTTATGTTTAATAATAAAAAATGACTTAAATAACAACATGGGTTATTTACATCTTTGGATCAAGATCTTAAGTTGTTTTGGAAATTTCGCATTTTGTGAAACAGACTACTCTTTGCTATAGAAAGAATGACACAATGGAAAGGAAATGTAATACTGAGCATTCCTTATCCAGAATTCTGAAATACTACAAACCTCAAAATTGTTCACATGGGTTGCTGAGTGAAACCTTTCCTTCTCAATTGTTCAATGTATTCAAACTTTGTTTTATATGCAAAATTATCTCCAAGATATGCACATATTTGTAAATACAAGTATTAAGAAATGCTCACCCCCCCCCCCCCAAACACTTCTGGTCCCGAGTATTTTGGATAGGGGATACTCTATCTTGTTTTACAAGATAAAGCACTGCTATTTTCACAGAACAGTTGTTGCTTTAGCTGAGGTACTTCTTGACCAGCCCTTCGTTTTCTCATTCTATCCTGGCCCAAGCCATAGGCTCAAGACTAAATCAAGGCAAGAGTTCCCAATGTAGTTGCAATATATACTGCCTGCTCTATTCTTAGCAAGGTGTAGAATGTGCCCTCAGTTTGATCCGGCACCAAGGTATGTTAAAAGATGCTTCAAAGCAAACAAATTAAATAGTACATCCTTTCTTTCCTAATGCTTCAAACAGTTCTACCCCATTAACTGAAAGGAAGCAAAGAGTCTAAATATAGCACCAAATTCTCTGCCTCATGAATAGTCTACTATGTGATATGGCAAGACTAGAGTAATTCGATCTTGCCTCTCCAAGATTGGGATCAAATTGCATTCCTGCCGTGAATATCAACAGTACTGCCTTTGGGGGACTTTCTAATTGCAGGTCCCAAGACAAGAATCGGGAAACGTGCAGCTACTTCAAAAACAAACAAAAGAAAAAGCATTGTTTTGCTGTCTTTTAAAAATTAAATACCTCTAATAAAATGGAAGAATATAAACAGCATTGCCCTGGGAAAAGAGAAATCCCCCTGTTGCTATTCAACAATAACCTGTTGCTTAGTGATATCCTCTGGGGTCCTCTCTTATTTCTGTTTACAGAGTGTTGTAGAAGTTGAAAGGCATTTCCCTGCTGTGTTACAATTTGACATTCGTTTTCAAGGAATACTGTCAAATTCACTTTCCATGAAAAAATAAATACAGGTTTAAACTCTTTCAAGAGTGAATTTCCCTTCGAGGGGGGGGGGTTGACTTCTCTCACTTCCTGTTGTCTCACCCCTGTTCTTAACTATGAGTTGTTTGTAAGTTGGATGTTTATAACTCTGGGACTGCCTATATACTGTTCTCCCACAGGAATATATAAGATCTAGTCTGCAAGCCAAATTATACATGCAGTGATCTCAAAGACACTTCTGTTTTCTTGTCTTTGGCTAAAGTTCAAGGTTGTGTTCTGAAGGAGTGGCAGGAAAGACATGGTGCTTTTAGCACAGTGGGGCAATTCAGGAAGGGCCCCACCCCTTGTTCCTACTAGCTATACTGTTCCTCTCCTAGATCAAATCGTGGAGGGGAAAACAATTCTGTAAATAGGATATGTCCAAAGTTACCAAGACACCCTTCTCCACAATCTCTTGGAGTCATTTTACAATTTTATAACAAGTTGGGTTGCTGTGCGTTTTTCAGCCTGTATGGCCATATTCCAGAAGCATTCTCTCATGACGTTTCACCCACATCTATGGCAGGCATCCTAAGAGACCTCACAACCTTTGAGGATGCCTGCCATATATGTGGGTGAAACATCAGGAGAGCATGCTTCTGGAACATGACCATACAGTCCGGAAAACTCACAGCAACCCAGTGATTCTGGCCATGAAAGCTTTTGACAACGCATTAAAATCAAATTTCCTTTCAAATGGCAATACATTTACAGAAACACATTTCTTGGGGGTAGAATAGGTATCAAATAAAATATCTGCATTGCCCATGTTTCTCATATAAAGACTACAGTGTTTTGTTTTCATGCTACACAGTTATAGAGGCATGGTTCCACTTTAACTGCTGTGACTGTATCTTGGGATTTCCAGATTAGAGATAAGACTTGTATTAGTCAGCCAGAGAGCCCTTTGGCTCATCAGACTACAAACTGTAGGGTTTCATATCCAGAGCTGCTAAAATAGAATCATAGTACTATAAAAACACCATGTGAAATATCCTTGCTTAATATTTAGTCTAAAATCTTCTGTGCACCAACCCTATAACCTGGACTAGAAGTTGCTTCTGGGTGTTCAAATGACTTCCAGTGACTTCTAGTTCTTAATCTGGCTACATCATAGGATGGAATCATAAGAGTTCCTAGTGCTCTAATTTTGTTGTGCAAAAAGACCCTCAAATCTAAAGAATCTTCAAGTAGCATTATGGGGCATTTCCTATGAATTTTGCTTTTTTTTTTCCTCTGTGAAGACTCCTGTATTGGAAGCAAAACCAAGATACAACCTTGCTCTTTTATGTTGTCTGATCAAGTGGAAACAACAGAAGCAACATCTTTATCTATCTACCATCAGTCACATAAGCTATCAATAACTTACACCATCATACACAATATGCCTCTGAATACCAATTGCTAGTGAATACTAGTGAAGAGGGTAGAATTAGGCCTAATTGTAGTTAGTTCCAGGAGGGTAGGTTTCGATTGAATAATGGAAGTAAGTTATTGACAACGAGAGCAGTTTGGCAATGAAATCAATTTCCTAGAGAGGTGATGAGGCTTCTTTCTCTGAATGTCTTCAAAAAGAGGCTACCTATTGACAGTGCTGCACTGAGCAGAGGGTTGGACCTGATGGACCATAAGCCCCTTCTCATCTCTATGGTTCTACAAACAAGGTGTGCAAGAGGTATTCTACTAAGGTCCTTTTTGTGAGCTTTCCCTGGACACCAGTGAGCAACATTCTTGCACTCCTATTTTTTCATGCAACATGCAAGAAGAAATCCTGAACATTTCAGCAAAATTTTGTCCAGCAGGGAGTTTGCATGTGTTTGTGTAGGACTCCCAGAGCTTAAGTTGAGATTTCTCATTTCTTACAAAATGATGGAGGAAAATTTATAGTAATTCTGTTAAGAGTTCCAAGAAATTCTTGAAACCAGGCCCATATGCCTCTTTGCTTTGCATAATAGCAGGGGATGTTCACAGTGGCCACAAGGGAAAAGCCAAAAATATTCATATTGTCCTCTACTGTCATATAAGACCTCAGAAATAATCTTTACTTTTAAAACATTTAAAACCTCTGAGGCATTCTTTGCTTTTGTTTTGACTTTTAGTCTAACAAGAAGTTCCAGCAAAAGCCTAAACAGTGTAAAGAGTGAAAAAAAGAGCATAGGGTGAGGGGTGAAATGGGAAAACTCAAGGAGGCTGCATGTTGAGAACACAGTCATGAAAACCTCTTGAAATTTTCATGAAACTCCCAATGCAATTAAATATTAGAAGCTTTGACTGGAAAAAAATATGTTAGGGAGGAAAAATACCTTTCATAGTACTTTGCAACTGTCCTCACTCTTAGGCAACTCACATAGACCAAATGGATATAACATTTTAATTGTAAGTTTTTAACCTGAAGGGATCCTGGGATTTTTACTTTCATTTAGACAGACTTAGGACTTCATCAAATGTGTCATCTGCAGCATCATAGGACACTTTTGCCTCAGTTGATGCAGAGAACTCCAAGCTGTCCATCACATGACATACGCTTACTTCTGGTGAGGCTTCCCGTATTCCATTAGAAACAATGCGGTCAGCGCCGGGGGGTGGGGGAATCTGTGTGGTGTTGCTTCCCCACGTGTGATGGGGAAGCATCACCATCTGTGAAGTGGGGCACAGGGCACTGGGATTGCCCCGCTGCCCTGCTAATTTGCCTCAGAGACTGGTGAATCGCTCTGCGGGACCTCTTCAATGTGATGAGGTCCTAAATTTAAACTTAGTTTAGACTTAGAATTCTTTGCTTAATAGATCAACTGTATTCCCCTGAAATCCACTTTCTAATGTATCTGGATTTAATCTTTTGTTCATCCTCTGGTAGTTCTGAAGAGTGCAATACAATTCTCTAACAAAGAATTCTAAGTACCATACAGAATCACAACTCCCAGGATTCTGTAACATGGATCCATGATTATTAAAATCTGCAAGTGCGCAATGCAAATGCAGGGTGTCCAGAAATTATCTTTAGAATTTCAATTGTACATAGAACTGGCAATTTAGAATCAATTTTTGATGACTTCTACTCTTCACACGAAGACAGCTCATAAATGGACGGGCACAATGCTTTATTATTTCTCCCACATAACACTTATCTTGGTTTGATCACACAATCCCTTGCCTCCAGGCTCTCTCCCTCTCATGTTAGTGGATTTGAGAATCAGTTCCATATTTTAGTCGGAATTTTAAAGGATCAATCTAAAGTTGATGTACCTGTTTGTAAGACAGAGTTGCCACCTTGGAGAGTTCCTTGACAAATCTGACCAAAACTAAGAGCAGATTCACCACTTTGCTAATTGGGTGCCACTAGCTGCCACTTTTTTATCGTGTCAGAAGTGACTTGAGAACATACTGCAAGTCACTTCTGGTGTGAGAGAATTGGCCGTCACATCTACAGGGGATACCTGGATGTGTTACCATCCTGCTAAGAAGCTTCTCTCATGTCCCTGCAAGCTAAAGCTGACAGATGGGAGCTCTTGTGGATTTGAATTGGCAACCTTCAGGTCAGCAACCCAAGCTTCAGGTCAGGAGTTCAGCCAGCACAAGGGTTTGACCCATTGTGCCACCACGGCTCCACAAGCTGCCACTGTAAAGATGAGATGGTAAAGGGTTCCATTCAGAACTTCCAATGCAAGAGGAACTTGCACCTCAGACAGTGTCACAGTTGATGCTGTTGGATCCTAACTGCCAGGTAATTTTAAATGGTCTCATGGGACATCGGGAAATGGGAAGGGGTTCTTGTTCTCTGGCCAAAATTAGGGAAAGGAAGGGTAGATTATAGGAATCAATATGGCTTCTTCAGATATTCAGTTGCCAAGAAGTCAATGGTAGTTCTATTTTTTTAAGTCTTGCAGGCCTGAGCTGCTTTGAAAATAAGGCCAATTTCCATCTACAAATAGTTGATTTGTACACAACCTTGGCAAGGACTGGAGGTGAAAATAGAAGGCAAGCAAGATTTTGATAGGAAAGGTAGCTCAGTTGGACACAGGACTAGGAGCTGAATAAAAGGGCTGTACATTAATAGCTGGATAACGTTTGAATACAACAGGAGTGCCTTTGCCCTGTCTCTATATTAACCAATTGCACCAGAACTTGTTTATTCTCTTCCCCTAGTCTTCTTCCACAGTTCCACAGTTCCACAGGGAATACATTTTCTCTTGTGCACATGTAAAGGTAAATGGTTGCCTAGAAACCATAAGATGCTGAAGTCACTCACTGAATAGTGTAATTTTCGGGGGGGGGGGTGTTCTGAAATATTTTATGCCAATTATTGCAGGATTTATAGATTACAAGCAAAGTGTAATTGTAAACAACGGATGGGAGGGAAGGCTATTTAGGCAGTAGCCCTTCCTTTTAAAAAGCAGCTCTTCTAAGGGTATCAGTGTTTTAATATATGAAGCATACAAGGATATGGGTCTCTTTTACACAGATATACACCCATTGACTGACCAAAGGAGGAAAGAAGCAACTGTGACTAAATGTAACTTCTGATTTTAATTTTAATTTTTCCATTCTTATTTCAAAATTCACAGTAGTAGAAAAGATATAGCCTGCTATACGTCTTTCATCCTAAGCAACCCACCTGCTGAAATATGCAGTTCGTAATACTGATCTACCTTGTAGGATTACACATTTTGGTGCCTCCAATGCTAGACCTGTTTCCAGGTATATTAGACCTGCCAAAACCTATCAGCTCTAGTTTTGAAGATACAGAATGTATGTTCTATGCCAGTCTTCTTATGCATGCCCATAAAAAATTGTGATAACCATATCTAAGAAGCTAGAGCTGATATGGTCTATCCAATGCAGTTTTTCTGACCTTTCACTCCAGATAACCCCAAGAACAGGCCTAAAAACCAAGGCACCAAATAAACCCTTTTTCTGGTTGGCCTGTGTTATTTATTGATATTGTTAAGCTCAATCACTCAATCCAAAAGGAATGATTTGAGGAGAAAAAGCTACTGGATTTCAAAGCTAATGCTTTAGATGCGGCACTGTGGCACTTTTGTTTTTGTCGTAGGGAGAAGCTTGGTGAACGGTAATGGTTTGCTGTGCCTTACTATTAAAATAGGTGGTTTGGCTGAAGTACAGTACTGCTACAAGCCCTAAGGTAAAGCTGTTATTGCTTTTCAAATTCCCCTTCATTACAGTTAAGTCCAGGACTGCTGAGCTGGAGAGTTTAACATTTAGGAATGTCTGAGAGCAGAAAGGGAACCTATCTCAAACAGTGTCAGAAATGCCATGTCGACATGAACGGAGACATGTTAGATGCACAAGGTGTCTGTCTTCGTTGCAAAGCTGAGGCAGGAGAGGAGCAGCAAAAGAAAGACAACAGGTAAGGCAAGGTAGAACAGCAAGATTTGGATTAAGATACAAAATAAAAACAAAAATATGCATATATCACAACTGACATAATATGTCTGCAATAACTATACAAAAATAAACTAAACAAACACAAAAGACTTATAGGTTGCTTCCAGTTTGCTAGATTGTGACTACTTTATATATAATATACTAACTCTTTCTATGTGCTGTTATCAAAATACAAATGTTTATAACACTTATATTTCTACTTTAAGTATTACTTTTGCATATAAGCACAGCTTATTTTAACCAAAGAGGAAAGTCAATTCCAGGCCCCGCTTATTCTTCATGTATTCAATCACTAAACTTGCTTTTCCTCTTCAAAACATTGTTAGTTTGTCCATATCTGAATAGTCATGCACAGTTGAAAGGATGTTCTGACAAGAGTTCACACCTACCATGGTTATACAGGCAAAGGATTCCTGAGAGGTTTAATTTCTGATCACTATTCTACCAGCAAAGGTTATTTTTCAGTAGAAAAATGAAGTTGCAACTTCCTTTCTGGACTTCATAGAAGAAAGAAACACAAGAGACTTATTATTTTTTAGTGGCAAAACCAAGAGTAAAAAATACCATTATGCTTACTTTTTATTTTTCATTATCTAAGACCAACTTGTCAAGATCTCTACATTCCAATAGTATGTGTTATCTATCATCTATCTAAAGAATAGGGTCAGCTGATACCACAGAAGAAGAAGACATACTGGTGCTTTCTTGGTATCTTGACATCACCAGGCCTGGTTAATACATGGAATGCTTCAAAAACAAAAACACAATGGGCATCATTTCATGTGGGAATCTTTATATGAATGTGCTTCCCATGCAGTTCAGCCAAGTTAGCTATGCTGCTTGAGGCTTTGTTAAGGTGTTGGGAAAGTTACAAAACCTAAGGGCTCCATCTGCTGGTTGACAAAATTGTGAATCCAGCACACCCTTGAACAGTTTTAAAATTATAGCTAAGATTTCAGATCAGAGGCTTCTCTGTCCTGCTACTATTATTCCACATATTTAATTATGCACTCCCCAAAGCAACATAGAGACCTGTCAATGTATCTGGCAAGAAAAGCAGAAGCAAAATCTTTTCTTTCTCTCAACAGTATATTAGAGCAAGCATTCTCAAACTTTTTCAGCCACTGAGCCCTTTTTGAAGCAAAAGGTTTTTGCGGAGCACCAATAAATGTTTATATTATATTATATTACATTATATTTTGTATATCTATCAGACATGGGCAAACTTTTGAAGAACAATTTTAACCAACATAAACCTAACAGTATTTTAGTAGAAGTCTCCAGTTGCCATCTAGTTCAACCGTCTTCTGCTGTGCAGGAAAAGCACAAAGCACCCCCAACATATTGCTATCCAGCTTTTGTAATAATAATAATAATAATAATAATAATAATAATAATAATAATAATAATAATAATAGCAATCCCAGGGGCCATCCAGTTCAACTCCCTTCTGCCATACAGGAAATGCACACTCAAAACACCCCCTGAGCAGTGGGAGAGAAATAGGGTTTTGGAAGCGAGCAAGGCGAGGGGAAAAGGCTTTTGGCAGTGAGGGAAGATGGGGAGGAGTAGGAAAGAGGAGGGAAAGCTTGGAGGAGGAGGAGAAGGAAGGAGGAGGGGGAGGAGGAGGAGGGGAACTGTGGCCCCTCAGTATGCTTCACGGAACCCCAAGGGTTCTGCGGAGCACACTTTGAGAACCACTGCATTAGACAGATAGATGTACAGTAGCCATAGATCTACTTGTGGATCTCCAAAGGTTTCTGATTCCCACTGGTTTAAAAACTGTAAAAAAAATTACTGCTACAGAAATAAAACCCTCTACAATAAGAGATCTTTATTAATTCATTTCAGAGTTACTTACCTGCAAAATATATTAGTTGGTTGCCAGTTTGACTCTGCATAACTCATCAGGTTTAGAGTTAGCTGTTGAAAATCCCTGACCTGTTAAATGTATACTCATCTTTCAGGCTCCTGATGTGTGCGTAAAATTTTTTGTTCCATCCTAAGCCACAATTTTGCTTCATCCCTTTGGTCATTATTTCTGCATTTGTTTTAGTTAGTGGTCTTCTAAATAGAGACCCCCCTCCCAGGCTGAAATCTTATAATTTCTCTGTGTTACAAGAAATATACCATACTATTTTCTGTGCCATTTTTTTAACCATCTGGTTGGCACTGACATGATCAGCCCAGGTTTTCCAGTCTGAATTGTCAATAGAGGGCAGTTCTTGAGAAGACGATTGGCTGAAAGAATGAGTATCCTTAACAGTGCAGAAGGTGAAAATGTTTCTCAAGGGTGAACAGATTTTAGCACTGCCTTTCTTTAGCACCTCATCAATCATGGAACTTTGTAGATGTGTTGATAAGAGAGTGGGGAAGGGAGAGACTGTCATGTCTAAGAAAAGAGAATAGTTTTGCAGCCAATCTGTTAAATGGGAAAGCAGAAAAGAGATAATGCCTAGAAGCAGCTAGTCTGACTTTGCACATCTGTGCAAAAGGGATTCACCCTTTTTCTGGAGTTCATCTCTGAAGGGCAGGTTTCCAGTTTATGAGTAAAAAGAAGAAGGAAACAAGCATATGATAACATGAACTGAAGGCCCTCTTGCTATTTCATGTATTTTAGAAGCGTAAGCAGCCTCATGGGTAGATTTCTTGGGGACATCTGTTTATCCTGGTTGTCTTGTTTTTTGCAGCAAGAGAACTTCACAATTTTAACCCTGCTCTTTGCTGCATCATATGGTCTGTGAGAGTTGTCAACTGAACACTCATAAAATCATATATTCTTAGAGTGGAAGAGGCCACAAGGACCATGTAGCCAACTCTTCTGTAATGTAGGAATGCACAACTAAAACAGCCAATCCAATCTCTGCTTAAAGTTCTCCAGAGCAGCAGAGTCCACCAAAGTCTAAGGCAGTCCATTCCATTGCTGAACAGCTCTTACAGTAAAGAAATACTTCCCAGTGTTTTGGTGAAAGCTCTTTCATGCAGTTTGGCCCCTTCTACATGATTTCCCTTCAGACATTTGAAGGTAGCTATCATGTCATATCAATCTTCTTTTCCCCCCACACTAAACATACCCTGTTCCCTAAGTCATTCCTCATAGCCCTTGCTTTGTAGACCTTTTACAATCTTGGTTATTCTTGTCTGGATATGTTCCAGCCTTCTAATATCTTTCTTGGATTGAGATGACCACAACTGGAAATAGTGATGTTTGACCAAACTACGGTAGAATAGAGTGGCAGTACTACTATCCCTGATCTGAACATTATAGTTGTGCTACACTTTGTAAATAATGAAGATGTGAAGACAAAGGATCGGGATTTTACAACCAGTTTTATGCTGAGGCACAGCACTTGTTCATATGTACATAGAATATTGTTGTGTGCACCTAAGCAGTAAGATTTCAGGGCTCCAGTGCTGACCTTTTCTTTGAATTATTTCACTGGAGACTCACTAGCTTTTTGTAGTATTTGCATTTATTTACAAATATAGTGGTAGAACCTGATGTATATTCATAGCATCACATTCCAATAGATGTCCTAAAGCTTACAGCTCCATCTTCCAGAAAGCAGTTTGGCTCTCAGTGCCAATATAGTAAGATGAGATCTATTTAAAAAAATAATAATATTTATATCCTGCACAATATCAAGACATCTCAGGGTGGCTTAGAAATAGCATTAAAGCAGGTTTTAAAAGATAGATAATTAAATGTTAACATATTAAACAATACAATGAGATAAAAACAGATTTTGAAAATGTAAATGCTTTTAAAATGGCATGTAACAGTCTTTTGGCTGAATTAATGAGGTTCAACCATTTTAGTAAACAGTCAAGTTTTAACTTGGCACCTATTTGATATTATTGTTAGGCCTTCAAGGGGAGATAACTTGGTTGAGAAAGCAGGTCTTAAATATCTGGCAAGCTCATATAAGGAGAGGCACTTCCCCAAATACCAAGGTTCCAAGTTGCTTAGGGCTTTAAATGTCACCACAGGCACTTTGAAATTAGGTTGGAAAGGTATTGGCAACCAATGTAAGTCTTTGACGGCTGGCATTACATGCAGTTTATATCATATTCTAGTCTTTATTCAAGCTACAACATTTTGCTGTAGTTTCTGAGTCTTCTTTAAGGACAGCTCCAAGTAGAGTGCATTACAATATTCTAATCAGGAAGTTACCAGGGCATGGATTATTATGGCTAGTAGTATATCTGTCCAAGAAAGGCTGTAGCTTTGAATGAATGTTTGCCATTGTATATTTTGTTGTGAGCTGCCCCGAGTCCCTTTGGGGAGATAGGACAGGCTATAAATAAAATTTCATTCCATAGCTGGCGCACCAGTCAAGCACTCTGAACCACAGGGTCCAGGTAGTAGCAGAACTTCTATAGAAAAGTGCCTCCTACTCTAGTGATAGGGATGGATCTAAAACTACTCTCAAGCTATGCACTTGCTCCTTCACAGGGAGTGCAACCCCATCCAAAAAGGGTATTTACCCAATTATTTGACCCAAGAACTGCCAATCCACACAGCTACCAGATGGAATAAAAATGTAATGGTTAGCATCCTGACAGTGCTATATGCACTTATACGTTACTTTACAGAAGGCTTGCACTTTTTTGGCCATGTGTATTCGGTTCATAGTCGCATATGAAAGTTTTGTTAGTTTAATTGTTCCCCACGGAGTTGTGCATTCTTGGATAGCAACTACTACTAAGTTTCATTAGTGTATCACTATATTCCCCAGGATTATGGAAAATGCAGGCGCTTTTGCAGGTAGTGCAATTGATTGTACATTGCTGATATTGAGTAGAAGGGCTGTATAGTGTAGCCACCACATGACTACTTAAGCATGAGCTAATATTAGTTTTACATGTCCATAACTGCAGAATAAAGCCTTTTCACCAATCATTTCCACCTGCCTTTTACATCACCCCTAATGGAGAAGCCTAATCAGACAATAAACCATACTGTAAATCTACTTCTCTACACAATGGAATAAAGGTGCAACACAAAAAAAAGTTTCAAAGGATCTTTAGGTAACAGGTCATTAAGTACCTTCTCTCTTGTTGCTATCTCTCTTCTCTTCACACGGCATATATTTTAGCCTGAGATATTGTATCATGGAATGAAAAAGTAAAGTAAACAATTTTTTGCGGGGGGGGGGGGAAACTTTCTATAGCAGAACTACTATAGAAAACAAAACGCTATAGAAAACAAAACAAAACAAAAAATAAAACTGGAGACTGGATTTCTTTTTTAAAGTCTTTAATTTAATTTTGTTCGCTGGGTGTTTTTCATTAGGAGAGAAATGATAAGAAGCGAATCCTAGAAGTGCTCATTCTCTGCTCCAATGTATTGAATTGGATTTACTTTATTTAACATCTAAATTGAAGCATTTTCTTTTTCATAAGATATCACTTTATATGAAGTTATTGGACACTTTGCGTCACAGTGCACATCTGTCTGCTTTTATATCATCTATTAACCCGAGCTATGGGAATAACTTTCAAAGGCACAACATAAAAATGACTCCTTATTCATGATGACCAGGTTCAGTGGTTTCAGATAATCAACATAGATTTTTAATGAGAATGTATCCTTGATACACTCTCAACCATTCATGTCTCTGTTACACAGGGATTCTGTTGCAAAGAATGTAGGTGAGATGGATCCTGAGGCAAATTACTCTGAGTTCATTGGTTGTGACCGAAGCGGACGAAGAAATGCAGTCCCTGATCTTCAAGGAGATGCAACTGACCTTAAACTGGAGAAACTGGCAAGCACCATGGATGATATTGCCCTTGCAGGAGAAGGTGAGTTACTCTGTGCCCCAGACAAACTGAAACCTAGAAAGCAGTCAAGGTAATTTAGGAAGGTCACATGGAAATGTTTTGCATAATTTACATGGGAGTTGATTTCAATGTTCATGAAAGTATATGCTCATGATATATCTACTGAGAAGTGCCATATTCACCAATATTTCTCAGATAACCAAGGGATATGCTTCTAACATGTTTTTTTCACTCCCAGGATTGATGCTTATCTCTCCAGATTTTTGCTTTCATAGTCAAGCTCTCAACAGTTCAAAATAAACTACACAAAATGGCTCAGTTTGAACTGCATAATAGCTTCAATACGTGTGGATAAGCATTTATCAGGGTATGAGAAACCCATGACCTATTTGTCCTAATGTATATAAAATGTGGTCTCTGCGCTCTGTTTGAAATACCATGGCCACTGGTTTAGGATAATTAGTGATCACCACTTTATGCTTGATTCGCGTGAGTCTCCAACACTAACCGCTAGAAGAATCCTGGGGTAAATTCTCCTTACTTGGGCTTTTGATGAGGATATTTTGTTGTACTGCTCTTTTTACCAAGACCTTTGTAAACCTCACAACCTCTGAGGATGCTTGCCATAGATGCAGGTGAAACATCAGGAGAGAATGCTTCTAGAACATGGCGATATAGTCCGAAAAACCTACAACAACCCACCTTTGTAAACATTTTATAAATCCAATTTTAGAAAATTTACCAGGGAGATCTGTAAGGTTTTATGTTGATTATCTTTTGGCTGACTAACACCACAAAATTACTGCTAAAGTTGCTAGCTTTTATGAAGTAGCAATAGCTTGTCGGCACAAGATGCTGTCACAGTCTTAGAAGGTTTTAACATTTATTTCAGTTTTTACCATTGTTTTTTACCATTGTAATTTTAGCATGTAAATGTTTAATACCGTTTTCACTGTCATATTCAATACTGGGTTTTACCTTTGCTTTTGACATTGTTCCTTAATACCTAAATGTATATGTTCCTATTCTGACATTTGTGCATTTTTGGTGCTGGTCATTGACCGTAATAAATCAATTATATATCTGGGTGTACATTAGTAACAAGATATATACAACAGAGATTTTTAGTAGCGACTTTAGAAAGGGAGCCAAAACTCAATTAATAACAGCCCTGGTAAGAAATACAAACATGATTTCACCTAGAAACATGCATGCATGCATGCATGCATAAATAAATAGTCATTTTCCAGGAACAGATATCACAATATAGGACTCTTCCTCTTTAAATATCACTGGGATCACTGGAATACATGTTTTTTAGTTTGCCAATATTATCCAACAGGATAGGAGCCCCTTGTGGAGCAGTGGGTTAAACCCTTGTGCTGGCAAGACTGAAGTCTGACAAGTCACAGGTTTGAATCCGTGGAGAGCATGGATGAGCTCCCTCTGTCAGCTCCAGCTCCCTATGCAGGGACATGAGAGAAGCCTCCCACAAGGATGGTAAAACATCCAGGCGTCCCCTGGCCAACATCCTTGCAGATGGCCAATTCTCTCACAACAGAAGCAACTTGCAGTTTCTCAAGTCGCTCCTGACACACACACAAAAAAAAAATCCAGCAGGATTCCTATGGAAATTTCAAGATCAATCTATTTGTGTGAGTAAAAATGCTTTATTTTGCTAAAATCTTAGGACCTAGAGAATTGAAAAACATGCACGCCATATTTCAGTCATGCTTTATACTTCAGCTTCTTCGCAGAACTTTCTTCCCTCCTCATTTCTGTTCATACAGAGAACTCATGGAGCCAACCACCTAGGAGTAATATATTGTTTTGGCTGTATTGTTACTAAACAAACTGCATTTCCTTGCCAAAGAAAAACATTTTATTGGATTCAATGTAGTTCTTTCCTCCACAAACAGTTATATAACTATTTTCCCCCACAGAAACTCAAGGAGAAGATGCTGCTGCAAAAAAATCTGGAATGACTCCTAAGATTCAAGACAGAAGCCCAACTTTGTAAGTTTTCCGATCTGCAAAAAGCTGGGACTCTTCCATCTGAAAGAAATCAACCTGCGACAGGGAGGCTCTCACTTAAAGGCCTCTGCTATGAACATCTGGATCTCAGCTATGACTTTCTGTGGCAAGCAGCCAGTACCGTCAAAGAACTCTCTTTCTGTAACAGCAAAGGAAGATCTACTCCAGTGACTTGAGTTGTAAAACATTAGCAGTTATTTTCCTGTATAGGAAAACACATGAGTAATAATATATACACTTCAGAGTTTATTGTAAAAGGTACATTTTCTTCACGTAGTAAATACAAAATATTTATTCTACACCCCTAAATTATTACTCTGCTGTATCCTTCTCCATGCACATGACACGGCTAGTATTTGGTGGCTGAGTACATGGGGATTATAGGATACAATTCACTAGACGTTTCTCACACATGAAGATATTGAGGTCACTAGAAGATGCATAAGAGTAGCCATGCTCATAGACAACTCCAATGCAGTAACTAGGGATGGCAATGGAAATTTCCCCCTGGATGTACCCATATCCTTCTTGAAGAAAGACAAAAATGAAATCCACCTATTTCTAATTCACCAACTTAGTAGTTCTCTTTTCTGACACAGAAGAAAGGACTGAGGTTTATAGATATCCACCATCCATACCAAATTGTTCAGAATTGCTGATGAGGTACATTTTGAAAACTGGTTTCATAATAAAATGGAAGGCAGCACATCTTCAAACTAATTCATTAAGCTCTATAGCATTCAATTGCTCAGTCAGATTTTGTGCCTATTGTTAACAGACATAATTTGTGTTGAAATTTGCATGCAAATTTGTAAACTTGTTTTTTCAACAATTAAAAGCAAATGAAGTTTTTTTTGGTTGCAGTTGATATTCTTCTCTTTCCCCTGACAATTTATCTGTAGTTTCACTGTTAGTCTTATGAAAAGTTCTGAATTACTGATGTGGAAACAAACGTTTAGGAATAATCAGGCTCATCTATGCATGAAATAGAACCCAATTCTCAACCTTGTTTGTGGAGAGCATCATAAACTAGTTGATGTGCATTAGGAGTGGAAACTTCACCCTTACATGGTAGTGGTTATTTAGTTATGCACTAGTATGCTATCTTTCTTCCAGAGTAGGACCCAAAGTGACTTCCAAAACAACAAAAAATGAATTTTATAGACTCAGAGTTGGAAGAAACCACAAGGGTCATCTCATCCAACCTCTTGCCACACAGGGATGCACAATCAAAGCATTCCGGATAGATGGCCATCAAGCCATAAAACATTTCCAAGACAGACACAAATTTCGAAAAAATAAGCAGGCACTGATGTACTATTTTCATTTCCTTTTGTCTACCTAGAATTTCATAATTTAATTCAATTGGTTTTTATTACGAGAAAAGGTTCCTATCTACTTTCTCTCCACACTTCCATAATTATATTAAAGTGTCTTATGTCCCAACTTACTTGCCAACCCTGCCCACAAAAATAATTTGTAAACCTTTCCAAAGACACACACACACACTTCCCCCAAGCTGGTTCACTTTATACCACATTGAACCATATGTGTCATTTCTTTGCCCAGCCATCATGATTTTAGATGCCCTTTAGGAACTCATGACCCCCTTTTTGCTTTTACCACTTTGGATAATTTGGTGTTGTCAGCATTCATGGTCACTTCCCGCTCAACCCAAGTCAAAATAATCTACAGTCAGCCCTCTGCAGTCACTGGCGTTAGAGCAGGCATGTGAAAACTTTGACCCTCCAGGTGTTTTAGACCAACTCCCACAATTCCTAACAGTTGGTCATTCACCATGAACAAAGGAAGTTGACCATAGAATCACACTGGAGGATGTGGAGCAGTGGTTCTCAATATTCCTAATGCCACAATCCCTTAATACTGTTCCTCATGTTGTGGTGACCCCAAATCATAAAATTATTTTTGTTGCTACTTCATAACTGTAATTTTTCTACTGTTATGAACTGTAATGTAAATATCTGATATGCAGGATCAAATTGGCACAAATACCCGATACACCCAAATGTAAGTACTGGTGGGATTGGGGTGTGTGTGTGTGATTGATTTTGTCATTTGGGAGTTGTAGTTGCTGGGATTTATAGTTAACCTATAATCAAAGAGCATTCTGAACTCCACCAATGATGGAATTGAACCAAACTTGGCACACAGAACTCCCATGACCAACAGAAAATACTGGAAGGGTTTGGTGGGCATTGACCTTGAGTTTTGGAGTTGTAGTTCACCTACATCCAGAGAGCCCTGTGGGACTCAAACAATGATGGATCTGGACCAAACTTGGCACAAATATCAATATGCCCAAATGTGAACACTGTTGGAGTTTGGGGAAAATAGACCTTGACATTTGGGCGTTGTAGTTGCTGGGATTTATAGTTCACCTACAATCAAAGAGCATTCTGAACCCCTCCAATGATAGAATTGGGCCAAACATCCCACACAGAGTCCTCATTCCTTGAAGGGACTCTGGCATGAGCCCCCCCCCCCCCCCCGTCTCGCATGCTCTCCCTCATCTGCACATGTGCACCATGCTGCCATGTGCCAAGCATGCCTGCTCTTCCCCACCCTGCTTGGAGTTTCAGAAACAGCCCTCCGCTTGGTTGAAAGGCCTTCATAGAAGAGGACAGCTTTTGGTGGGAGGATTCATTATGTATTTCCAAAAAGGAAGTGGGAGGTGAAGAGATCTTCAGCCTTCTCTGCCAAAAGGGTTCCTAAGACCATCAGAAATATATTTTCTGATGGTCTTTACCAACCCCCCTGAAACTCACTCGTGACCCTCCCAGGGGTCCCAACCTCCAAGATGAGAAATGCTGAGATTCCTAGAAATCAAATATGTGAATAATCAAATTCACTAAAGTCAAAATCACACATGTGGAGAAACAACTGTATAGCAAATGTATGGGTCCCAATATAGCAGCCTTGAGAATCAACATTATGAGAACTGGCTTTCTGCAACTCAACCATTTTAACCAGCGTCTTAGTTGCTGGTGGGCATTGTATTAATTGCCTCAGGGGACTTCCCATGGCTGATACTCTGCACTCAGTAGCCCCTTGAGCTTATCAAGCATGGCTTTTATAATCTTAGTTTTTGGGAATTGAATCGTTGCCATTGTAAACCTCCCTGAGTCGCCTGAGGGCTGAGAAGGGCGGTATACAAATATAAAAAATAAATAATTTTCTCTACCACTTTTGGATCCCTCTCTATGTCTTCTGCTCTCTACTCTTCTTTCATAAACTCAAATAGGTTTGAGAACCTATTTAATGATGCATTTCCTAAAGCATTGATCACCAGCAACTGTTCTATTTTCAAAAAGGAGTGCCCTTTTTTTTCCATTTCCTACATACATGCAAAAAGGTCAAGACAGTCGGATGTTCACTGGTAACTGTAGTATCATAGGTGACATTCTAAACTTAGTGCTTCTAGGCTGTTAAGTATGCCAGCACTAGGTATTATATTTAGCTAAATCCCCTTGTGAGCTGGTTGCAAGCTACACAGGTCAGTGTGCAGTTTCATTGGTGAAGTGAACATGTTAAATGCAATGACCGATAGTACTGAAAGATCAGTTTCTGATGCAGAAAACTGAGCTTCTATTAAATGACCTGAAAACTCATATTGAACTCCTATAATTCCATAATCCTTGCTATAGTCGAACCACAAGACAATACCTTTGAGAGTATTTTCCCTGTTTGTCCCTACAGTACTTGCACTGTCAGATGAAATCTTCTTGTAGCTTCCTGTCTATATATACTGTATTAAGCCTTTGCCAGAAAATGATATTTCCCATTAGTGACTCCTCAGTCTTTGAACTGAATATGCCAAGGTTATTCCCTACTACTTGTTTGCTTTTGGTGAAAAAAATCCTGAGTGGCTGCAATTGTGAATAATGATGTGGGGTATGGTTTAACCCTTTCCTCTCTCATTCTCAGTCCATTCACTATGTTTCACTGTGTTATTGGGGTTTTTTTGTGACAGGAGCGACTCAAGAAACTGAACGTCGCTTCTGGTTTGAGAAAACTGGCCATCCGCAAGGACGTTGCCTAGGGGATGCTCAGATGTTTTACCATCCTGTGGGAGGCTTCTTTCATGTCCCTGCATGAGAAACTGGAGCTGACATAAAGGAGCTCACCCCACTCCCTGGATTCAAACCTCTGACCTTTCAGTCAGCAGTCCTGCTGGCACAAGGGTTTAACCCAGGGGCTCTCAGCCTTCCTAATGCCATGACCCCTTCATACAGTTTCTCATGTTGTGGTGACCCCTAACCATAAAATTATTTTCGTTGCTACTTCATAACTGTAATTTTGCTACTGTTATGAATTGTCATGTAAATACCTGACATGCAGGATGTATTTTTATTCACTGAACCAAATTTGGCACAAATACTTGATATGTTCAAATTTGAATGCTGGTGGGGTTGGCGGGGAGATTTTTCATTTGGGAGTTATAGTTGGTGGGATTTATAGTTCACCTAAAATCAAGAGCATTCTGAACTCCAGCAACAATGGAATTGAACCAAACTTGCCACACAGAACTCCCATGACCAGAGAAAATACTGGAAAGGGTTGATGGGCCCTTGAGTTTTGGAGTTGTAGTTCCTACATCCAGAGAGCACTGTGGACTCAAACAAGATGGATCTGGACCAAACTTGGCACAAATACTCAATATGCTCAAATGTGAACACTGGTGGAGTTTGGGGAAAATAGACCTTGACATTTGGGAGTTGTAGTTGCTGGGATTTATAGTTCACCTACAATCAAAGAGCATTCTGAACCCACCAATGATAGAATTGTGCCAAACCTCCCACACAGAACCCACAGAACCAATAGAAAATACTGTGTTTTCTGATGGTCGTTGGTGACCACTCTAATACCCCCTTGCGACCCCCCCAAGGGGTCCCAACCCCCAGGTTAAGAAACACTGATTTAACCCATTGCACTGTTGAAAAGATATAAAGAGAGTAGTTACTAGGAAGAGGTGATCCTGTGCAAAGCTGAGGAAAGGAAAGCATTATAAAGACCCAGTGTGCAGCCAGCCAAGAAATGCAAATTGCTTTCTGCAAATGACATATTGTGTATCACATCTAGTTTGGTTCCCATTTCCTGTAGCATTCCTGTAGCAACAATCTCCTCTATTTCACTTATTTTCCCCACAACATTTTGTTGATTCATTTCACCCATTCAGGAGCCCTACTTTTTAATCACTTTTTAAGCCCAGGAAAAGCCTAGCAATTGCCCTCCCTGCCTTAGTTGACCACATTAACAAATTCATTGTGATCTCTTTGCCCCTCCTCCTATATCAATTTGGTTTTTTTTTCCTGACATGGTCAAGGAAAAGAAAGAAATACTCATGCAGTTAAAATTGACTTTATTTTATTAAATGAAGAGACATAACATATTTTGTTCCTCAGGATGTGAACTGTCTCCTCAGAACGAAATTATGAAAAGCCATCACAAAACAAGAAACTGATGACTGCTTAAGAAGCATTGACAAACAAGATAATGTTCATTAGCATTACAAAAATAACAGAATAATTCCTCTATACATAGCGCCGAGTTATCGATATGACAGACATTTGCATTTACATTAAAAATTTCCTTTGTTTTCACTTGTACAAGCTGTTTATACATTGACTCAACATTTTCTAAGATAAGTGCTATGCAAGGCCCCATCAACACTGCCATATAATGCATTATGTGGTTAGTGCAGATTCATATAAATGCAGTTCAATGCATTTAAACTGCATCATGGTTCACACTGAACATATAATGCAATTTGAAGCCACATTATATGGCCATGTAGATGGCATCAAGACACAGGACCCTTCTACACAGCCATATAACCCAGAATATCAGGCAGAAAATCCCCCATTATGTGCTTTGAACTGGGTTATGAGTCCACACTGACATATATTCCAGTTCAAAGCAGATAATGTGGGATTTTCTGCCTTGATATCCTGGGTTATACGGCTGTGTGGAAGGGCCCTCAGTCTTCTATCCCTAAATATGACGCTGATGTCAAAGTCAGTCATTAAGCACGGATTTTGGTATCTGAAGTTTTGTAATACCAGCTTTTACAACCACCTGAAATGTGGAAGCACCAGCTTATATGATTTCCACAACAATGTTTACAACTTTATAGAACATTGACAAATAATAAAAATAACCACAACCATTTCAATATACATAACATAGCAAAATACAATCAGAGTGCATTTTGACAGAGCCTGGGTCAAGATGACTCAAAATATTTATTTGTGCCACAGATTTCCTATGGCAATAAGCACCACAGAAAGTAGCTTGAGGATATACCCACAATCTGGAATAAGCCCTGCTTGGTTTGCAAGGAAACCAGAAGTGTTGTAATTCATGTTTGCAGCGGTTAAGACTGCCCAAATTGTGTGCATATAAAAACTCTAAGGCTTTACAATTACATTTAAGCAGAAGAGAGGACAGCATTCTTGAGCAGGATTCAGAGCCAGCGGAGACATTAAATGTGATATCAAGTCTGCAAACTTTATTGTAGTTGACGCTGTTAAAGCAAGCCTGGCTCCTTGAAAAAAGATTCCTTTTAATAATAATACAAGTTTCCTATAGGGCCTCAGACCGAGGCTCAGCTGTTATGGAAGTCTGTAAACTTCCTGCATTACAATTCCTCTAATACAGGCATGGGCAAACTTCGTCCCTCCAGATATTTTGGACTTCAACTTCCTCAATTCCTAACAACCTACCAGCTGTTAGGAATTGTGGGAATTAGGGTCCAAAAAACCTGGAGGGATGAAGTTTGCCCATGCCCACTCTAAAAACAGATAGTAATTTATAATCTACACTACCTTCAGAAGAGTGGTTCTCAACCTGTGGGTCCCCAGGTGTTTTGGCCTACAACACCCAGAAATCCCAGCCAGTTTACCAGCTGTTAGGATTTCTTGGAGTTGAAGGTCAAAACATCTGGGGATCCACAGGTTGAAAACCACTGCTTTAGAACTTGAGTGGAAACCATGAGCCCTTCCAAGAGCCCTTTGGACTTTTAGCCATAACCAACAAAACCAATGGTAAGGAATGCTGGGAACGGTCATCTAACAACAACAACCATCCCAGTGTTACATTAAGACAACAACCAAATGATAAAAAGACTAGGAATATGAGTAACACATTTACATTTTGAGGTTATCTTGTTGGAATTTGGAGTACTCCAAATCAAGTGTTTCACAGTACTGCTAGAGTCGCATTCATATTTTTTTTAGTCTTTAATAACTTGAATTAACTATCCAAACAATGTATATTAGGAAATCATAATATAGAGTTTAATGTATTAACTATCAGGTTGTGAAATCATAAGATATAAAGACATTGAACCAGGATCATTGGATTTTGTTGACAGGGAAAAGGGATTGTATGGATCCATTTTTTGGGTGAGATGTTAAGCAACTAGATGTTAAGTTAAATGGACAACTGCAACTTTAAAAAATAAATAGCTATGACAACACCTAAAACATGCATGGGCCAACCTGGGCCCTCCAGGTGTTTTGGATTTTAACTCCCACAATTCCTAGTAGCCTCAGGTCCCTTCCTTTTCCCCCTCAGCCGCTTAAGCAGCTGAGGGGGAAAAGGAAAGGGCCTGAGGCTGTTAGGAATTGTGGGAGTTGAAGTCCAAAACACTTAGAGGGCCCAAGTTTGCCTGTGCCTGATCTATAAGAATTGAACTTGTGACTTGTTGCCTGTTTCCTTTCTTTCACTATTGTGTTGTGAGCAAAGAAATAGAAAACATCATAACCCCAGTATGTTTTTTTACATTAGGGAGGAGGAATCACTGTGTGATTTGCAGCAGCTGTGAACTTACTGTATTGTTTCCTTGGGACCTCAGCCACTGTTTTCAATATTAAACCAGGAAAGAAATAAAAGGATAAACCAGGCTATTTTAATAGATTTTTTAAAAAGTAGGCATAATATGAGGTATGTTCCCCATTGGGATAAAAATGTGAATTCCACATCAAGAAACTATAAAAACTATTTTTAAAAAGCAGTTTCAATGCCATGCTTTTTCTCTGTTGATAACAGGGGAAGTAAATTCCTATCAATTGCTTCTTAACACTTGTAACTTTTCACATCATATTTCATGCTAATTCTAAGGGCCCTTCCACACATCCCTATATCCCAGAATATCAAGGCAGAAAATCCCACAATATCTGCTTTGAAATGGGTTATCTGAGTCCACACTCAGATAATGTGGGATTTTGGAATATAGGGATGTGTGGAAGGGCCCTAAGGGTCCCTGAACTCCATCCAAGGAGCAAATTTTAAAGACATAAGAAGCTGCGAAAAAAAAGTGGTGGTAAGAAGAGAAGGAAAAGCACTAGTCTGGGAACAATGTTATGTACATGAACATTAAATTTTTGCAATAACTGAATATGTAAGAATGATACACCTTTACATTCAATGTATGCACTTTGCTTTCTGGTAGGGTTATTTAATGTTCCTGCCCAAAACAGAATTCTGCGGACGTATTATTTGAAATACTATGTTACTACTAAGTATTTGCATTTCAACAATGCTTATTCCACTTAAAAAGAGATAAGTGGAAGATCAAGTTCAGTTCTAATCGTACAGCACTATTAGTTTGTGTATTAGATAGACTATTAGGTACTTACTCATGGTTAACACACACTGACCTAGATGTTGTTACTCTTAAACTATTTTCTTGTTTCTAGTCAGAACTAGAAGTCTAACAGAGCTGTTTCTATATTACAGGGAGGGGGATAAGGCAACTGTGTCAGCAAATATACTGGCCCAGGCATGGGAAAACTTTGGCCCTCCAGGTGATTTGGACTTCAACTCCCACAATTCCTAACAGCCTATTAGCTGTTAGGAATTATGGGAGCTGAAGTCCAAAACACCTGGAGGGCCGAAGTTTTCCCATGTCTGTACTAGATTAAGGTCAGTTCTTCTCTAAAATCAGTTATATCTATAGTTTTAAAATGCATGTACAGTCCCTTAAGGCATCTTAAGGAAGTTGGATTTTGAAAGGCAAAAGCTGAAGCAGGGACTAAATACAGCCATTTCTGTGTCCAGAAATCAAATGCAAATGTACAGCTGGATAATAATATACTTTCCCTGGCTTCTTAAATTCAATCCTCCATGTGCGTACAACTAACTATCTTTGGACTGAAGCCCTAGCTTTAGACAAGGAACTCTACACATTTTGATACTACAAAAATGTCGAGCTAGTGCTAAGGCTAAACACAATCATGTACAAGTCGAAACTTTTCTATCTGTAGATAAGAATTTTATACAATCTGATGATATTAAAATAATGTTGAGTTAGTGCTGAAAAGAATCATATACAAATCAAAGCATTTCTATCTTTAGGTAGATCAGAACTCTCAATGTTCAGTTGGAAGTGTGTGGTTTTATTCCTCTCGTTCACATATGTGGGCACCAGTGGTTCTCAACCTGTGGGTCCCCAGATGTTTTGGCCTTCAACTCCCAGAAATCCTAGCAGCTGGTAAACTGGCTGGGATTTCCGGGAGTTGTCGCCCAAAACACCTGGGCACCCACAGGTTGAGAACCATTGATGTATACCAATTATTGGGAGCGATCTGTAAGGCCACAGATGATTTAAAATTTCTAAAGCCTTTCATTTTTAAGAGAGAAGACAACAAATTGAGAAAGTTCTTGTTTTTCTTGTGTGTATTTTTACCCCACTATTACATCTGGTTAAATGGATGTAATAGAGTGGAAAATGAGATGAATGTAGCCTCAATGAATAGCGATCCAGCTTTGAATAACAACTGTTTTCAATGTAAAAGATGAATAGGGTTAACTTATGTTCCACATTCTACCTATGGAACTATGTTATAGGTAGATATGAGACAAACATCATAGAAATACTGTTATTTTCACTTAGTGGATGACCCCACTCTGTAGATAATAGTAAACACAATAATAACACTGTGTGTCATCTTCCAAGAAGCAAAACAGAGGTCTGAAATGTGCGTACAAGAGGACATAGCTGTTTAGCACAGAAGAGATTAGAACTCTGTGCTTTTTACCATATCATACGCTTCATACAGCTTGTAGAGAAGCTCCTTCTTCTCTTTCTCTGGCAGGAAGCAGGACTTGGCGGCATTGATATTCTGCAAGAAAGGAAGAATGAACATGGAAACAGAGGTCACTCAATCACAGCAAAAATATAATATTTTGCTACCAATTATATGCACAGCTAAACAAATTTAGGTAGTACCAATGAATAGCTGGAAGTGTTTTTTCCCAAGCCTGTATTTTAACTCTTAAAAAAAAGGAAGAAAGGCTTTATAAAACAGGTCTTGCTACAACTATATACAACTATAAATACCTCAGCCTAAGTCCCATTAAGCTCTATTGATTTGATATTATCCACCTAGATCTTGCTCCATTGAATCAAGTGCTACAAGTCATTTGGGGTGACCAGACTGGGCAAGTCTCTGGCTTTCTCCTGCCTTCTAAATTTAGAGTGTGCAAAACTCTTCTAAAATAGCAATACATTGACTCACTAATTGGCTACACGATGACCCAGCGTTTATTCCTTTCTTTGTGAGCCAACATGATGATTCAGCATTTCCCCAAGATGAAATTGTTCAATTACAAATCCAGAAGAAATAAGAATTCACGGCTTTGTGCCTTATTTTAATGGGAACAGGACCCTTATGACTTTATGTACAGTGGGCCTTTGGTATGTGTTGGGGTTTGGTTTCAGGATCCCACATGGATAACAAAATTCATGGATGCTCTAATCCCACTGAATGGAATTATAAAATTGGGTTTCTTATATAAAAATGGCAGAATCAAAGTATGCTTTTTGGATTTTTGTAATATTTTCAAGCTTTGGATGATTGAATCCACAGATACAGAATCTGTAGATACGAAGGGCCTACTGTAAACATATATGTTTTATTTCTATAGATTAAGTTGTGTTTATTTACACCATTATATGAAGATGGTAGTGCATGCACTGGTAACCTCAAGGTTAAACTTCCGCAATGCATTTTACATTGGGCTACTTTTGTACCAAGTTCGGGAACTGATTCAAATGGTTCAAAATACAGCAGCCAAATTGGTTATAAGAACATCTAGGAGTGAGTATATCACACCTATCCTGAAGTCACTCCACTGGCTGCCAATTCATTTCTGGGCAAAGTACAAGGTGATGGTTTTGACCTTTAAAGCCCTATATCGTTTGGGTCCAGGTCACCTAAAGGAACGCCTTCTCCCATACAATCTGTCCTGCACACTTCAGCCTTCTGGGGGCGTCTGCTCCAACCAGCCACCATCCAGAGGACCTTTTCATTGGCCACCCCATGACTGTAACGACCTACTGGAAGGACTCCAACAGCTAAATGAACTGTCAGAATTTTAAAACCATGTAAAAATCTATCTCTTCCACCAGGCATGCCCAGACAAACATGAATTTTAAGTGTCCTTTGTTTGATCTGTTTTCTGTGTTTTAATATGTGTTTTGTAGAGATACATTTTGGTGTGTAACTTTTCTCAAGCTACATTTTTGTGTGCGTGTTTGTAGTGTTTTTGCTGAGCTTATGTATTTTAATTGTTTTGTAATCTGTCTCGAGCCATGAGAAGAGGCCGGTAAGAAACAGAATTAGAGGGTTGGTGCTCATCTCAATTTCTAAGCCAAAAAGCCGGCATTATCCATAGTCACCTCCAAGGTCATGTGGCTGGCATGACTGCATGGAGCGCTGTTACCTTCTCACAGAAGAGGTACCTATTGATCTAGTCACATTTAAAGGTTTTCGAATTGCTAGGTTAGCAGAAACTGGGGCTAACAGCGGTAGCTCACTCCACTCCCCAGATTCGAACCACCGACCTTTTGGTCAGCAAGTTGAGCAGCTCAGCGGTTTAACCTGAACTGACTGGACGTATAAAAAGAAATTCAACTTTAAATATTTTAAAGGCTGGGCGAGACAAGATCCCAATAAGATTTTAGCATACAATTGAGGTAATTGTCACTAATTCCTTGAATGAAACACTCTGCTTCCTGGTTACTTCAAATATAAAGGGGTCAGAGTAAAACTATTAGTGAGGTGCATTGGTTTCCAACACTACTTTTGATTATGAAGCTATGCACTTCAGTTTTAAGATACACTCCCCCACCATGTAAACATCTCTAAAATGGCGTGTGTCTTATAATTGTGTGTGTGTATACACACACTTTTCCTGTTGATGGTACTGAAATTAGTGTGCATCTTACAATCAATGGCATCTTAGAATAGAAGAAATACAGTAAACAAGTAAGTGCTGGTGGTCATTTATCAAGCCATATCCTTATGTTTTCTAATCATGGGAGAAGGTAATTAACCCTTGTACCTGACCAAATAGCAGGTACTATGGTAAAAGCCTCAACATGTCCCTAGATTTCCATTTGTTTGCAGATAAAGAGCAAACAACCTAATCCAAATGGAGGTGGATCAACTGCATTCCCTCATGAGCTCTATCACTTTAGTTCATTTTTCCCCAAAAAGATCAGCTTACAATTCTCTTGAATTCCTCTTCAGTGAAGCCCATTGAGTCCCGAGCTATTTTATAATCAGTATGAATTGAGGAGCAGAAAATGAGTGGGTCATCTGTGTTCAGGGAATAATTTGCACGATCTTTCTTAAACCTGGAAAATCAGATATGAAACAATATTTAAAAGGCTACCATTCTGCATTTTCTCACGGGTAGAAATCTAGGTTTCTGCTTCATCTGTATTCAACTTCATGTTTACTCAGTGTCACAGTTAAAGGCAATGTCTTTTGTTAACGAGTCAAAAAGACAAACAGTTGATGCTTCCAAAAATCCTCTGGGCAGGACTGAAGGGCAGGGCAAAGAAAGAGGCAAAACTTGGGTTCTAAGTCTATTTCTGTTAGTCAGAGTTGACAAGATGGAACAAAGACCATCTTATTGCAAACCAAACAGGTACGCGGAAGCGTATTTCCTGTACTACTAATAACCCATTTCTGTGGTAACGAGGAAAAAAAACCCAAGACATTTCATTAACTGGGTGGAGAATTTGCTTTGAGTACTCAAAAATAAGGGAGTTGAAATTGTATTGTCGAAGACTTTAATGGCTGGAATCACTGGGTTGTTGTGGGTTTTTTTCGGGCTATATGGCCATGTTCTAGAGGCATTCTCTCCTGACGTTTCGCCTGCATCTATGGCAAACATCCTCACTACCTCTGAGGATGCTTGCCATAGATGCAGGCGAAACTTCAGGAGAGAATGCCTCTAGAACATGGCAATATAGCCCGAAAAAACCTAAAACAACCCGAAGCTGAAATTAATTGCAAAGATACCCAATGGGGAATGCCTGGCTTGGTAGAAGGACATGTGGAAAAGATCTTGAGACTCCTCATAGACAATAAGTTAAACATGAGTCAACAATGTGATGAGGCAGCTAAAAAAGCCAATGGGATTTTGGCCTGCATCAATAGGAGTATAGTGTCTAGATCCAGGGAAGTCATGCTACCCCTCTATTCTGCCTTGGTCAGACCACATTGTGAATACTGTGTCCAATTCTGGGCACCACAATTGAAGAGAGATATTGATAAGTCTAGAAGAGGGTGACTAAAAAGATCAAGGGTCTGGAGAACAAGCCCTATGAGAAGCGGTTTAAAGAGCTGGGCATGTTTAGGCTGCAGAAGAGAAGGCTGAGAGGAGACATGATAGCCATGTATAAATATGTGAGGGGAAGTCATCGGGAGGAGGGAGCAGGCTTGTTGTCTGCTGGAGACTAGAATGTGGAGCAATGACTTCAAATTACAGGAAAGGATATTCCATCTGAATATTAGGAAGATCTTCCTAACTGTGAGAGCTGTTCAGCAGTGGAACTCCCTGCCCTGGAGTGTGGTGGAGGCTCCTTATTTGGAGGCTTTTAAACAGAAGCTGGATGGCCTTCTGTCGGGGGTGCTTTGAATGTGATTTTCCTGCTTCTTGGCAGGGGGTTGGACTGGATGGCCCACGAGGTCTCTTCCAACGCTATGATTCTATAATTCCAAATGCAATGTGGGATGATTACTATGAAATTATAATATATATAAAAGGATAATCAATCATACCTTATACATGGATGATTGTTGAACTCTGTTTTACACGCACCAGTGAGATAACTAGACCAAGGGCAGACCTATATGTTTATTTTTTTTTTAAAAAAAGAACACAAACCAGAAATCAATATAGATTCTTATAAAAACACTTTTGTGTTGCAAATACACACATAAAATACTAGGTCTGTTATTATATATAAGCTGCTATCACATGGCAATTACATTCTTATTTTTCCAGTTCAAATAGTCCATCTCTTTATCTCCAATGTGCTTGTGAAGATAGTGGTTGTTTACAGTGCAAACATAATGAAAACATTTTTGCAAAGTAAATATTAATTTTTGCCTTTGTAGCCAGTTCCGGTACACTTGGCGCAGGAAAGCACTGAGATAAACTGAAGCCCTTTAAACAAAAATGAACTAGTGAGACTGTAACAACACAGACATTATATTTGAGTATGCATTGCACATGAAGAAGATTACGTTATACACACAACATCACAATACATCCTTTTATAGCTATTGCAAAGATTTCATGCTCATTAGGATGAAATCAAGGTACCAAACTTGTTTCTTTAGAAGTTTATGCAGCATGGAGGGGCTTTGGGGGGGGGGGGAGAATGAAAACAAAGATAAATACAGTTCTGTATTGAATTTGGGATTCGCTCCTCGATAAATAAGGGAGGACATTTCCTCTCAAAGGAGCACCAAGATAGTGGAAGTGGTTAGTGCCTCTGTTAGGTTCTCCTGGGGCAGGTAAATCTTCCCCTTTCTCCATTCTACTCAGAAAAGTGGATGGTTCCTTTAATTCTATTTTATTGGAATTAACACAGTACCTTAACCTTTACAAAAAAATGTACCATCTCCTCTGAGTAGTCAAAGGCCTTTCTGAATGCCTAGACAGGAAAAGGGTGGCAGCGGTGGTGAGGGGCAGTGCTGTATCTGCCAAATGCCCCTTATTTATCCATGGGCCATATTAAAATTTATAATTTTCGGCCCCAAACCTACCCTTGACTAGTCCATGAGTATATACAGGTCTTGGGCTGTTTCAGTGATGCCCAGAACAAAATATAAAACAGTAAATGTACAGGTATTACTTTCTTAAAAGGTTGAATAGGCAATTAATCATGTATATGCAGGGCAATATGTGTGTGTGTGTGTGTGTATGTATGTATGTATGTGTATATATATATATATATATATATATATATATATATTATTAGTAGGAGCCTCCAGTGGCGCTGTGGGCTAAACCTGTTGGTAGGACTGCTGACCAAAAGGTCAACGGTTTGAATCCAGGGAGCAGGGTGAGCTCCCATCCATCAGCTCCAGCTTCCCATGGGGGGACATGAGAGAAGCCTCTCAACAGGTTCGTAAAACATTCAGGCATCCCCTAGGCAACACCCTTGCAGAGGGCCAATTACCTCACACCAGAAGTGACTTGCAAGTCACTCCTGACATGAAAAAAAAAACTATTAAGAAGCAGACTTCATCATGTACATCTTATATCTACTGATTAGTCTTAGGGAATCAAAAGCTATTTCTGCTGTCAAATCTAGTCAAAGTTAACTTTTCATTAAACATTAGACTCTTAATATGATATAGTATTTTTTCCAATCTAAGGAAGATCCATGATGAAGTGTCTATCCAGAATGTTCTGCTGAAATAGAATTTCCATAGCAGCATTTTAGCAGAAAGTACAAAATGTCTTACATGCAAAAGATCCTGAATTCAATCCCTGGCATTTTCAGGTCGCAGAAAAAAACAATTTATCAAATGCTTTGGTGTCACTGTTGGTCAAAGCAGAGTTTAAATAGACTTTCAACCCACCCTGGCCAACTATCCATTCCAGTTATAAATACCAAAGACCTAGGAGAATCAGTACGTTGGCTGTTATAAGGCAGCTTCCCGTGAACTGTAACTTATGCAAAATAATCGCTAGAAAGATTCTAGGCGTTAGATCTTTCATTACCTCAAAATGCATAGAATCTTTCAAAAGCTGTTGATATAGACTTTCATCTTCAAAGACATGGTAGCCATGGCCAATTCGTTCTGCCTTCAGGATACTGATGGCCTGTAAAGGATGGGAGGTGATATATGAAGATTAGCAAAACAGGTTGAAATGAATTATGCACTTAGCAAAGCAATTACAACAAAATCAAAGTTAGAGGGGCTTCATTAAGAGATCCAGAACTAATAATGTGATTTTTAATAAATATGGATCATAGTATGTTAAAATACAGAGTTTAGAAAACTTTTAGTAACGGTAAATCTAGTTGTATCTGACTCTGGGGTGGTGGTGCTCATCTCCATTTCTAAGCCAAAGAGCTGGCATTGTCCATAGGCACCTCCTAGCTCATGTGGCCGACATGGCTCCATGGAGTGCCGTTACCTTCCCACTGGAGCAGTACCCGTTGATCTAATCATTGCATGTTTTAAGACTGCTAGGTTGGCAGAAACTGGGCTAACAGTGGGAGCTCATCCCACTCCCTGGATCCAAACTGCTGACCTTTTGGTCAGCAAGTTCAGCAGCTCGGCAATTTAACCCACTGCACCACCAGGGGCTTATAAAATTGCAGGATTAAAAGATTGCAATTCTCAGAGTTACAAAATTGCAATGGTTGTTATCTAATTTTTTCAAGCGCTGGTGAAAATCTTGAAATACAGCTCTCCTATACTTGGCACAGACCACTTGGACACACCTAGGGTTATTTCCAGGTCAATATAACAAAGAATGGGTTGGCACTGTATGAACAAATACTGAGTTTGCACATTATTTCTCCTCTTGGTGGTTTTCCATACCTCTTCCCTTTTTTTTCAGGCCACAAACCAGTTTTCCTAACTTCTGGGATGGCAGACTATATTGTTTGCACTCCAAACAAGAATCTCAGATTGTGTCTGGGTTTGATGCTTGCTCATGTACTATCAAATTATGACAGCCAGTGTGCTGTAGTGGTTGGAGTGCCGAACTGCAATTGTGGAGAGTTGAGATTGAACCTTTGCTTAGCCATGGAAATCCACTTGGTGACCTTGGGTGAGTCACATACTCTCAGCTCTAAAAAAAAAAAAAAAACCTGTGATAGGTCCACTGTAGGACCCCCATAATTCCAAAACATCTTGAAGGTAAATAATACATTATTTTTGAATCAAACTTGAAAGGGCAGTCTGAGCAGTAAGTCCCCAATGTCCACAGTGATAAGTAAAACCAAATCCAAGACTCCAAGTATACCCGTCTGATAGTTTGTCTCTGCTGCCCAATGTTTTGTTATAGTTACAATATTCCATTTTAAAATGAGCATAGCCTCCACAGTGTCTATACCTCTGGCTTGAAGTCTCTGAATTCTGCAACCAAAAATGCACAAGTATTTGGAAAATATATATATTGCAGAATAAAACAAGGATTCAAAAAAGGCCTATGTGAAGACACAACGTGCTTCTGTATGGCCACAAATGTCTCCATGCTCTCTTTCATCAGCAGGCAAATATTTGTTTTATATTGACAGGCCTTTAACTTTTAACTGAAATGTGTTGTGTTGTAATTTATCTTTTTATGCTTTTAAATGAGTATTGTCGTGTTATTTTTTAACTTTCGTATTTAGCTCTGTTTAAGTTGTATTTTGTATTTAACTTAAGGTTCCCCATAGGGAGAAAAATGAGATGTAAATCAAACACACATGTCCGCCCCAACTGTAAATTCTAATAACAAGTCTTCCAAATTAATACAGTGTTTCTCAAAAGAAGCCCATGATATTCAAAACTAGCTTTGGAATAAGTACAGAGAAATATCCCGGCACATCCAGAAGATTTCACAGAGCTTTTTGGATCTGACCTAATGAAATCATACAGTGAAAGAGTGGAATGTGCTGCCTTGGAGAATGGTGGAGTGTGCATCTTTGGAAGGTTTTAAACCAGTGGTTCCCAACCTGTGATCCATGGACTACCAGTGGTCCACAAGAACTAAAATTTGGTTCACGGCCTCACCATTACTACACTGTTGCAACAAGAAAGAATGGTCTTGTGAAACCCTTCTTATAGTGCCAAGGCTTATTAAATATGGTTTTCTGTGGGTGAGAAGATGGCAACTACTGGATGGCATATGTTCTGTATCAGAAACTAGAGCTGATGTGGTCTATCCAATGCAATTTTCTGAATCAGCACCCCAAATAACCAAACCAAATCTAAATTTGACCAAAAACTGATTTGTAATCTTTTTGGTACTAATGTTGGAGAATGGTTCTTGATCAAAGTGGTCCCTGGTCAAATAAAAGATTGGGCACCACTGTTTTAAACCAAGGTTGGATGGGCATCTGTCAGGACTGCTTTGATTCCTGCAGGACAGAAGACTGAACCGGATGGCCCTTGTGGTGTCTTCTTTGTTTTATTTTATAGAAGCATCTTCTATATCAATGCCAATCAGCAGCATTCCTGAAAAGATCAAGTTTCATTGCTCTGCAACACAGTTTCTTACCTCCTTGATGACCTGAGAAGATCCAACTTCACCAGCGTGAACAGTCCGATGAATGCCACATCGTTCAGCTTCCTGGACAGAACAAAATAGGAGACAGAGAGATTTGAAGTGACTGGCTGATGTCAGACAGGCATAACACAGTTAAGACTGGTATTTGCAAACTTCTCTTTTTTCATTGCTGTTGAATTTAGAAAAAAACTGCCTCAAATAAATTAATAAAATGCCTAGTATTGCTATTTTTCTCAGGATAGATATTAAAAAATATTTAAAGCTAAAGATACCAATTTCTCATCTTTAGTATGAAAAACGAGCCACCATATGATAATCTGAACTTTTGTCTGTTACTGATACAACGTTATACAGTTAAACCTACAATAAGCCCAGCATTATTGATACATTCAGGGCTTCTTAAATTTTTTCACTTGGAACCCCTTTTGGTCCGAGAAATATTTATGCAACCAGGGCATATACTTAGGTATATAAAATAGGTATAAAAACCAAACACTGAATTATAACAAATCTGCATTTGCAAGGCTTGCTAAACAGGCTAGTTTCCCTTGTTAGAAAGTACAGCTGAAGCAACTTCGGGAGTGATCACTGTAAACTAAACACGGCACAACAAATTTGTGTAAATGTCTAAAACAGCCACCAGGTAATGTTCAGAAAATGTTAACTGTTGCCAAATTTTTGGACCCCCAACAGTGAGCTATGGGAACCCCATTTTAGGTCAGAAAAGGTTAATGAAAAATGTGAAGATGAAGTGGTCAAACCTCAGGGCTCTGAAAAACAGCCTAATGAAATGATCTGTAGCCCATATGCCCCAATTTCCTCACTGATTTTTGCCTAATTAATGCATTGAAACGTTTTTAAACTATTTTTATGATGTTGAACATTGAATTTTGCTATTGTTAACCACTTTGAGTCGCCCAAGGGCTGAGAAAAGAGGTATATAAATGAAGCATATAAATAAAATAATAAATAAACCTAAAGAGGTTAATCATTGTGCTTTTTGCCTTTGGTTCCAAAGTTAGAAGAGAGACAGTACGCCAATATTCTTCAGCCACACAATAGTGATCTTTGACTGATATTCCATACTCAACTCAACTAACCTCATAAGCTTTTCGATGTTCTGGGCAGGTTTCAGCACATATTGACTCGTCCCCAGCTAAGTCTATACCAACCACTGAATCATTCTTATACTTCTTACACAATTCTACTACTTCTGGTGACCAGCCTGGAAAGAAAAGAAAAGAAAAAAACCCTAATAAGGATGAGATTTTCCCCATAAACACCCAAAGCCTCATTGGAATTCTATGTGTCATCCACAGGAAAATGTATGTCATACAAAAATATCACTTTGTTTTCCCAGGCTTTTTCTTCTGACTTTCAAAATTTGACAAATGTTGAATGCTGCCCAGAAACTATAGATGAGTTTGTTTATGGGCATCAAACACTCCAGCTATGGGGTAATTAAATTTCTAGAAGGGAATAACAAGGTGTATATTTCTATTTGAGGTACCTGCACATACTGCAATATATTATCCTAGCTGTAATTTCCCTGCTCTGTTTAAAAGATGTCAAATATTGACAGATTTATAGTATAAGCCTTAAAACATCCTGGTTTACAAATGGAAAAGTCTATTTTCATGGGCTTACTAAATGGCAAAGAGTCTATTCCACTTGACACATGAAATGTTATTATATCTTTGTAAATCCACTGCTATATCAATTAGATACACACACACAATGAGGCTAAATGTCCATAAGTAGAACAGCCTGGAATCATTATCTATGTAAATGCTGAAATAAACAATTACCAGAAAGACTTATCCTGGCTCTCAGGCAAGAACACTTGTAGATGCCAGAAACTGAACTTTGAACTTAGAACGTGATAAAGAAACACTCACATGCAAGAGTTAAAGTCACAAACTAAGAATCTCTCTTTTCTGTTTCAGGATTGACTCAGTGCTAACCCACTGCCAGATTTCGCCTGAGCCAAGGGAAAGCACTCTCAGCACGAGAACAAACTGCAATCAGTGCACATGAAGAATTTGAAATGGAGCAGATCAAATCAAAGCCTGGTCCCACCTCTGACCAAATTTGAACAGATCACAGTTTCTGTCCCTCGCAATCAGTCCACATAAACAAACAAGCAGTGAATCATAAACTCAGAGGTTGTGTGAATAATCCCAATATATGACCTTGGAAGCACATCAAGTTTATTCGCACAGTAATGTAGTCATGAAGTTACTTTTTCACTTTCAATCCCAAAGCAGTGAAATGCTGTACATTGTTTATATACTAATACTTTTTGGTAGAAAAACAAAACTGACAATTGAAACTGCAAGTTCAAGGACTTGCACAGTTGTTCTTTGCCTTTAAGGAATGTATTTATATCAAGAATGGGCAAACGTTCTTCTACTCCCACATATCCAAACAGACGGTAAACTGGCTGGGATTTCTGAGAGTTGAGGTTCAAAACACCTGGAGAGCCAAAGTTTGCCCATGCCTGATCTATGTGTTAGAATTAATGAAGGTTGACACTCCTTTAGCTGCCATGGCTCAATGAGGTGGAATTCTTTGAGTTGTACTTTGGTTTTTTCATGTCAGGAGCAACTGGAGAAACTGCAAGTCGCTTCTGGTGTGAGAGAATTGGCCGCCTGCAAGGATGTTGCCCAGTGGACACCCAGATGTGCTACCATCCTGTGGAAGGCTTCTCTCATGTCCCCCCATGGGAAGCTGGAGCTGACAGACGGGATATCACCTCCTTGGATTCGAACCACCGACATTTTGGTCAGCAGTCATGCTGACACAGGGGTTTAACCCATCGTGGACTCCAAACCACAACTCACCAAACTATAACTCACAGGATTCCACAGCAATAAGTCATGTCATTTAAAGTGATGTCAAACAGCATTAATTCTACAACGTAATGCACCTAGTCATTCCAACTTATGGTGAGCCTAAGGCAAACTTCTCAAGGGTTTTTCCTAGCAACGTTTGTTCAGAGAGAGTTAGGATTTGCCTTCCTCTGAGGTCGAGAGTGTGTGATATATTCAGGGTCATCTGGCTTTTAATTTTTGTTATTTTACAATATTTTGTTGACTTTTTCCAATACTAAGATGATAAGGACTGACATCCAATGCAGTGTGCGGAAGAACAGCACAGAAACGGACAAGTAAAAAAAACATTCTATTTTGTATCAGTACTTTAAATATACTATCAATAACTTATGTAGAATCAAACAACAAAACTTTAAAAAAATTCTTGAGGAACAAGGAAATGTTTTAAAAATAGCAATGCATGGTGTTAAGTAAAGGTAACAGTTTTCCCCTGACATTAAGTCTAGTCATGTCTGACTCTGGGGGATGGTGCTCATCTCCATTTCTAAGCAGAAGAGCCAGCAATGTCCATAGACACCTCCAAGGTCATTTGGCTGTCATGACTGCATGGAGCGCCGTTACCTTCCCATCAGAGTGGTATCTAATTTTTTTAAATTAATTTTTATTGTGCAAGATTTTTTGTTGAATACATTGAATAACAAAGAAGAAAGAGAAAAAAAAATTCACCACCCCCAGTCCCCAGAGCGGTATCTATTGATCAACTCACATTTGCATATTTCTGAACTGCTAGGTTAGCAGAAGCTGGGGCTAACAGCGGGAGCTCATGCTGCTCCCCGCATTTGAACCGCTGATCTTTCAGTCAGCAAGTTCAGCAGCTCAGAAGTTTAACCCACTGCGCCACTGGGGGCTCCTTGCATGGTGTTAAGCATACTTCTTTAGAGAAGTATGGTGTTGAGCATACTTCTTTAGAGAACTAATTTTTACAAGAGGAAAGAGCTGAGGGGTTTAGGGAGTCTTGTTACGAATGCAATAGGTTGCCAGATCAAATAGGAAATACATGGAATGGAAAATACAAACATTTATCCTAAAATCATTTAGCAGGTGTTGATAGGGTACAATTTAGGAAAAACTTTCTCCAGGAAACCTCTTCCATAACACTCTTATTGTTTGGTTTCTAAAAACTTTCTCCAGGAAACCTCTTCCATAACACTCTTATTGCTTGGGTTCTAAAAACACAACCTATGTTTTCACTGGATCCAATTTAAGTATATGGAGCTGGATTGGCAGAAGGTGACCTTCTTGCTTCCTCTTCCATAGAAAAGCCATCTTAGAATGCTACCCAGACCAACTGGTATAAATTAATGGGGTAAACTGTGGTACAGAAGCAGTGTGCGAGAGAAATATCCTTGGATATCAGGAAGTGGCATCTTGTGTGAGCAGAGCCCTTCTGTCCATGGAAGACGAGCCTTGAATCTAAGCCAACAACATTGGCTTGCAAAGAAACTAAAGCAGACTACAACATACTTCACTGAGCATTAATCTCTTCTACATCATTGTACTGTTCCTGTATGGGTTCTTGTAGGCAATATACATTTAACAGAAAGCGAAGAATGGAAAACGGTTGCTTTGGCTTTTATTAGCCTATCATTCTAATCACTTAAATGAACATTAGGAACTTGTGTGTTAAACACATGGTTTTCATTAAAGGCTGGCATTAGGATACTGGAGGCAAGCGTTCTGGCAAGTGCCCCTGGCTGCTGTCCAGCCTTCATGTGCTGCTATGCTAAACAAATTAAAAGGCTTCGTTGAGCCACCTCAATGACACTCCTTAATGAATCAATTCAAATGTCATTTATTTTTATAAGTATAATATACAAAAGATGATTTTTTTTTTTGCCTTAGCTGAAATAGATAGGAAATACTTTACAACTGACTTGCATGTCTAGTTTTTAGAGGTCTGTTTGACAGTGGGAAGTGCCCAATTGAGAGGTGCTTTAGCTTTGCCATTATAGTTGAAAAGTGGATGACTCACTCGCCTTCAGCTCAGGGCATGCAAACAGAGACAGTAGGAGGATAATTGCACAATAAGATATAGACCAGTGGTTCTCAACCTCTGGGTCCCCAGGTGTTTTGGCCTACAACTCCTAGAAATATCAGCCTGTTTACCAGCTGTTAGGATTTCTGGGAGTTGAAGGCCTACACATCTGGGGACCCACAGGTTGAGAACCACTGATACAGACTGTTTTAAAGTTCTTGTTAGAAGAGCTTTAGAGGGCTTACAGCATGAAAAATAAAACTATGAAGACTGTGAAGCCATTTTCCATGTTCCTGGCCATCTTTTGCTGCCCAAAAATCTGCCAAAAGGTGGTCCCGCAAAAAATTGAAGTGGAGAGTGTGGGTGCATGTGGGGCCACCAAAAAAACCCCAAAGGGCTGAACAGTTTGTCCTTCTCTATCCTATAGCTACATCAGAGATGATTGGAAGAACACGTTCTATTGATAGCGACAAACGTTTTTGCGTTCTGTGTTTAAGGCTAACCAAGACCCTTACTGATCATGGAGGCTAACCAAGACCCTTAGATCATGGAGACAACCAGGCCTATAATTTGGGCAAGCCCATAGGTCTAATTGAAAACCACTCCATTTTTTTCCTAATATGCAAATTCCTAGTTTCTAAGACTCATGGATGGCATCCTTGAAGTGACTGAATTGACCTTGAAGGAGCTGGGGGTGGTGACGACCACCAGGGAGCTCTGGCGTGGACTGGTCCATGAAGTCACGAAGAGTCGGAAACGACTGAACGAATGAACAATAACAATAACAAGACTCATCAGTAACAGTATCAGAAGCCCCCGGTGGTGCAATGGGTTAAACCCTTGTGCCGACAGAACTGAAGACTGACAGGTCGGAGGTTCGAATCCGGGGAGAGCGCGGATGAGCTCCCTCTGTCAGCTCCAGCTCCCCATGCGGGGACATGAGAGAAGCCTCCCACAAGGATGGTAAAACATCAAAACATCTGGGCGTCCTTGCAGACGGCCAATTCTCTCATACCAGAAGCGACTTGCAGTTTCTCAAGTCACTCTTGAGCAGTAACACTGTTCATACCAAAAATTTCTTATGAAACAATTTTTCACTTGGGTTTCTGCAGTTGAGCTATTGGAAATGAAAAGTCTATTTCTTCCCTTCCACTGCATTTAGTAGTATGTACACTGATGATGATAATTACCAATCCTATTCAAGAAAACCCTTCTGAATGCATAGAAACTATGTTTTTTAGAAGACCTGCTCAACAAAACTTGTACACAGCATTATGTACACAGGTCTCTAAATCTGGTCTTAACTTTCTATGGAGTTTGACAATACAATTATTTTCTTAGTGAACTGCACCAAATCAACTTTTTGCTGGTTGTAACTTGTACTTTCCAGTGAGCTGGTCCTCCTTTAGTCACTGGAATAGATTGACAAGAAAAAAGAGTCCTTGTAAAAAACAAGCTAATCTAATGTTTAGACAAGACTATGACACAACCAGGAGGAGCTCCCACCTTTGACTCCTTATTATAGACATTTCTCAGAGATGTACTTCAAAACTACAGTCAGAGACAGAAATAGGAGATGCCTAACCTTTGGATGTTACCAGATTGCAACTCGTATCAATTCTTATCACTGGTGGTTATATATGATAGGTTTAATGGGAACTGTAGGTCAGCCATATCCAGAGAGCCACCTGTTCCTCAAACTGCTTTGGTTTAGCCTTTTGTGGTATAGGTAAAATCATAGAATCTCCTTTACCATGGAAAAATGAATAAATACTTTCTCATGCAATACAATTACCAACTTTTTTACAAATAAAATTAAGCAAGCAATACAAATACCAGTGAAACAATATACATAACAAAACTGTAGCTATTCTGTCTCTGCAGTAGAGGGTATCAATTAACAGCTGAAACAGTGTCCAAGTTTTGAAAGGCCCTTGAAAAATAAAAGGGAATCAACCAGCAAAAACATATTTTTGCCTATATTTGAATGCCAATCAGAAAACATAGCGAACAAGAAATTCTTATGTTTTAAAGGCAAACTACAAATGCTCATGTAACAAAACATATGTAGTTTTCCAACTGTGCAAAGTCTCTCTCTCTCTCTCTCTGTGTATATATATATATATATATAATTACTTTTTGAAAGAACAAGGGAGTGTTTATTTCATTATCTAATCTTTAGTTGCAAAGGTTCTTTCTGCATATATCTAGGATCAGCAGAAAGCAAAATAATGGAACAATTACATTCTTCAGAAATCAATAATTCTCAGGTGAAAAGCACTTCATCACAGAGGAAATGACATGATTCGCATTTTTAATCAATATATCCTTGTAAAAATAATCCACTGTGTAAAACTAATTACTCATGAAAGAGGTTCAACTATTTAGGGCTGCTATCACCATAAACTGACTGGCAACATATACACAATTAAGTGCAGATGGAAAGCCATATTAGAAAACTATGTCATGACTGTAATACTGATTTATTTGGGCTATACTTTATTAAAGAGCATACCTTCAAGTTGACATTTTAAAATAAATAATTAGTTATTACACATCACAAAATTCTATTGCTGAATTGAAAGCTGTACTAATACTCATTAATAAACTAGTTCTGAGTTAATTAAATGATTTGTCCACAGACTTGTTTTCCTCCAACTGAGCTAATCATAGCATCAGAGATTTTAGATTTCTCTCCAAAAAAATCAGTACGAAAGTTCTGCCTCTTCTTCAAATTGAAAAATGAGATTGCTTCTCTTAATTCCTAACAAACTTCAAAACAGCTTCAAACGCCTTTTAGAGTTTAGCTTATAGTGTGTAACAGTAAAACATACCCCTCTGCTTCAAATACCTTAAAGCCACTCTAATCTTGGAAGCTAAGCAGTTTCAACCTGGGTTGGTATTTGGATGTGAGGGAATACCAGGTGCTGAAGGCTATATTTCAGAGGCACTGGCAAACCCGCTCTGATTATTCCTAGGCTAATAAAACCCCATGAAATGTATAGGGTGACTTGAATGTAGCAAAAGGCATCAGTTACCCATCTTGATGCCTAGAAGATTACCAACTTTTTTACAAATAAAATTAAGCAAGCAATACAAATACCAGTGAAACAATATACATATCAAAACTGTAGCTATTCTGTCTCTGCAGTAGAGGGAGACCCAGGGAGATCAGATTTATTTTGAACTCTTTTATATTTCCAGAATGCCAAGGTCAGCATCATATAGCACAAATACAGTTGTCTATCTGGAAGTCACTAGAGCAGTGGTTCCCAACCTTTTTTTTGACCATGGACCACTTTGACCGGAGACCACTTGAGCAGGGATAAATCTCCAACATTAGTACCAAAAGAGGTTTGAATCAGTTTTTAGTCAACTTTAGATTTGGTTTGTTTATTTGTGGTGCTGATTCAGAAAACTGCATTGGATAGACCACATCAGCTCTAGTTTCTGATACAGAACACATGCCATCCAGTAGTCACCATCTGCTAAACCACAGAAAACCATATTTAATAATCTAGAGCTGATGTGGTCTATCCAATGCAATTTTCTGAATCAGCACCCCAAATAACCCCAGAAACAGGCCTAGGTGCTAGATAGTATTTTCAAATCCCATAAGATCAGAATCTGCCAAGGTATCATTGAATGGACAAAGTTTCATTAACACTATCTCTAATTTACTGCCTTATTCGCTGAACTCAGAGGCAGAAAATTCTCATCAGCTTGAAACGATCGATGATTAAGATGGAATGCAGAACATAGGTTAGGACATGATTGGTCCTAAAGTAATGGTACACTTAGTCTTTGCGGAAAGCAAGAGACAGAGATAAGATAGAAAATTAATAATTAACGTACACTTACTGTACATATTCCTCTAAACCAAGGATAGTACCAGATGTGTCATTAAATGTCTGTAAACATACTCAATGGACACACAGTACTTCCATAGATTTTCACAAACTCTAGTTTCTCAGATGCCACTTTTTATCTAACACACAAAAGCAACACACATCAATTAAAACTCACTGCATTATTTTCTAAGTTTTAGAAAGTTTGTTATCACTAGTTTTCCACCAAAAGCATCCTGTTTCAGAAAGCATTCAGGAAGCAAAGGGCTGAATGCCTGATGTGTTCTTGTAATCCTAAATCAAAACATTCCGTTTGAAGACTTATTTGCACGAGACTGCGAATAATCAAATACAGTAGGTTCTCAGTATCCTCTGGGGTTTGGTACTAGGATCCACCATGGAGGCCAAATCTGTGGAAATCAAGTACCATTATACAAGATGGTGTAGTAAAATGGTTTCCCTTATATAAAAGGGTGAAATCAATTTTATATATAGACGTTTAGGTTGAATCAATTGAGATAGAGGGCCAACTGTACATATGTACGTGTGTAAGCCATATAATCCAGTTCAAAACAGATAAAGTGCATTCTCTGCTTTGATAATCTGGAGTATATGGCAGTGTAGAAGGGGCCAGATTGGTCAACAGCCTTCAACTAATTCTGTAAACTAAAAAAGAAAAAAAAAACCCAAACTTCTCTTGCTGTAATGATTAGCAAGTCAGATGCTATATGGCAAAATATTCAATTTGGCATGATCTGTTTATATGTTTACATCTATTCCCTGAACTTATTTTTCAGTGGGACTGTTTATTAATTTATGTGATAACTGAACATCTAAAATGATGGACTCAAATCTTCAGAATCAATGGGTTGGTCAGAAGGGCGAGGAACAAGACATAGTTGGCAAAATAGGGAACAGAGCTATGGCTGGGTTGTAATACATTACTTGGCATGTGGCGCATGCAGCATAGAATAGACCTGGCTTTGATGTGGAAATCCTTTTCTCCATCTTTCAACCCTCGATTAACAAGGCTAACAACTTCATCCGGAGTGACATCTCCCCTGAATAAAACAAATATAGACATCATTTAGTATATCATTGTTCCCTACCATCGCTGCCTGGTATCAGAGTAACACACCTGCTCTATAAAGAACCAAGTTTAATGGCAGGTTCCAAGTCTAATTCCAGGATCTCCATTGGATTATCTAAAGATCTAGAGAAGAGTTCTGCTGGAGATCCTGGAAGGTCTCTGACCATCAGGGTGGACAGTAATGAGATAGATAGTCCAACTCAGGCCAAGATAAACCCACTGTTCGAATTCAGTTGATTCCAAAACATTACTTAAACCTTTATGGCAGTCATGGGCAAACTTTGGACTTCCGGGTGTTTTGGACTTAACCTCCCACAAATCCTTATACCCTATCAGCTGTTAGGAATTGTGAGAGTTGAAGTCCAAAACATCTGGCGAGCCGAAGTTTGCTCATGCCTGCTTTATGAGCGTACCAGAAACAAAGCTTAATTGTAATATTTCCTATTCAAATTAAGCTGCTACAGACAAAACTTTCAGCATTTGACTATTTCTTTAGAAAGCAAATGGCAACAATGCACACCTTCTCTGGAGATCAGATAAAGAGTTATCGGTTGTTAGTGTATGGTCCATACTATATCAACATGTACTTCTTTAAATATTTTGTTAACCAAAATTGTACTCCCCATACTTCAAGCATCTAATTAACATGCTCCATGCTATCCTGGGAGGAATTACAGCCAGCAGCAAAGCTCCCTCCTGAAGCTTCCCTACAAAATATAAATTAGCAATGCATTGTCGAACAAAGTTCCAATTCCTTCTGAAGGAATTAAGAGCTAAAAAGATCACCTGCAGGGTCTCGACCCAGCAGTTATAAAGCCAAAACTGTTTTGGTTGTTTTTAAAAGTTGCTGGGGAAGAAAATGCTTCTGTTTTAACTCTGGTTTCTTTCCTGAACAAAGTCACTTCTGCCAACAGCCCTTACAGTTGCTTCACACAGGAAAGATGGATGACGCACTCGGGGCAAGAGGTCCCCTTGACATGGAACCATTCTCAGGAAACTGGCCATGGAAAAGATGGGGGAAGAAATAGGGTGCACTAGTTAAACGGCTAGCCTTTTCAGAAGGGAAGAATAAATGCAGGTAGATCTGTGTCCTCTGCAAATAAAATACAGTCATATAAATTAAAATTGAAGAGAGATATTGACAAGCTGGAATGTGTACAGAGGAGGGCGACTAAAATGATCAAGGGTCTGGAGAACAAGCCCTATGAGGAGCGGCTTAAAGAACTGGGCATATTTAGCCTGAAAAGAAGGCTGAGAGGAGACATGATGGCCATGTATAAATATGTGAGAGGAAGTCATAGGGAGGAGTGAGCAAACTTGTTCTCTGCTTCCCTGAAGACTAGGATGTAGAACAATGGCTTCAAACTACAAGAAAGGAGATTCCATCTGAACATTAGGAAGAACTTCCTGACTGTGCGAGCTGTTCATCAGTGGAACTCTCTGCCCTAGAGTGTGGTAGAGGTTCCTTCTTTGGAAGCTTTTAAACAGAGGCTGGGTGGCCATCTGCCGGGGGTGCTTTGAATGCAATTTTCCTTCTTCTTGGCAGGGGGTTGGACTGGATGACCCATGAGGTCTCTTCCAACTCTATGATTATATGATTCTAGAAAGGCTGCAATGTTACATAGCATTAACAGACTAGGCTCAGTGGGACTCATGTGTCAGATTGCACTACAATCTGCTCCTCAAGCTACCTCATATGGTCCATCAGCAAGTTTCTTTTGCAGAATGTCTGGCTGGGACTAGGGGTATATCTACACTATAGAATTAATGCATATTGACACCACTTTAATAGCCATTACTCATGCTATGGAACCATTGATACTCTTTAGCCTTCTCTGCCAAAGAGTGCTGGTGCCTCACCAAACTACAAATGTCAGGATTTCACAGGATTGAGCCACGGCAGTTAAAGTGTTGTCATTAATTTTACAATGTAAATAAGATATGTTGTCGAAGGTTTTCATGCCCAGAATCACTGGGTTGTTGTAGGTTTTTCGGGCTGTATGACCATGTTCTAGAAGTATTCTCTCTTGACGTTTCGCCTGAATCTATGGCAGGTATCCTCAGAGGTAGTGACCTCAGAGGTAGTGACGTTTCGCCTGCCATAGATGCAGGCAAAACGCCAGGAGAGAATACTTCTAAACATGGCCATACAACCCGAAAAGCCTACAACAACCCACATTCTAAGAGGTTTGTTCCAAACTATTATTGTGTTCACAGGACTTCCTACAAACATGCTGCAGACTGACAACCAGTTACTCACAGATTACTACTGGTCCAGTATCATCACTCTGAATGGCACTACCCTACAGAATTATTTTCAGCTGCAGCATGCTATGATCCAATCAAAGTTTTCCCTTCTAAAGATTCCTACATGTGTGTAGGGGGCGGGGGTTGGAAATAAAGCAGCTAAGCGTGAAGGTTTTAGCCTCCTTTGTCCAAAGGTGGCTCCAATCTCATATCAGAAGATTACTTACTTAAACTGGATTCTACACTGTTCTATATCCCAGGATCTGATCCCACATTATGTGCTTTGAATTGGATTATATGAGTCTACACTGCCAGACAATCTGGGATCACATCTTGGGATATAGGGCAGAGTAGATCCAGCCAGGGTCCCCTGGTGGTGCAGCTGAGCTGCTGAATTCGCTGACCGAAAGGTTGGTGGTTCGAATCTGGGAGTGGGGGTGAACTCTCACTGTTAGCCCCAGCTTCTGCCAACCTAGCAGTTCATAAACATGCAAATATGAATAGATCCATTGGTACTGCTTCTGCGGGAAGGTAATGGCGCTCCATGCAGTCATGCTGGCCACATGACCTAGGAGCTGTCTATGGACAATGCTAGCTCTTCAACTTAGAAATGGAGATGAGCACCAATCACCAGTCGGACATGACTAGACTTACCGTCAGGGGAAACCTCTACCATTACTAGGTCCAGCCTAACTGGTACAAAAATAAGAAATTCAGCTTTGTGACATGCAAATTAGATTTTAGTAAAAGAGTTAGGAAAAGAGTTAAACACTGGTAATGGACTCCGATGCAGATGTGATGTTGCAGAATTGCATTAGTAGCAATATAATATTTCCTTTGAGGTGGCTGCAAGCCAGGTATACTTAATCAGGTATTTGCCCCTAATGTGAGCATTACATTGATGTGTGCTCCTCCACATATTTAAAGAGTTACTCACTTTTTTTGTCCCCAGGGGATAGGATGCACTCCACAGTTGGCAAGTAAATGAGGGCTGTATCTGGCCTCCACATAGATTACACCCTCCTTTGCTTTCATTTCCACAAACTCATAAGCAATTCTTCTTATAGCCTCACGGTCGCCCCTGTAAATGCAAGAAAGCATGAGTTGTAATAGCTGCAGCTAATCTACACTTAAGAGCAGGCAAAACATTAACTTTGCTGGAGCTCAGGTTCAAAAATTCATTGAGACATGGATGAATTTACAATATTGACTGCAAGCACCAGAAAAAGGTGATAGTTTGGTTCTCCATATATGTTTCAGATAGCCTAAAACAATTACACTTATATACAAAAAGCAATGATCCCCAAATATGATGGCCATGTTTGTGATACACAGAGCAGAAAAACCTTTGAATTTGAACTATAAGTGCTCTGTTTAATGTGTAAATTGCAATTAGTTGAAGCAGGAAATCTTCCAATCAATTGGCATTCTGTGTGTCGGAACAACTAGTCCCATTCCACCACCTGCACAGGTTTGCTTATAGGGACTGAAGAAATAATAGAGCTTGGCTCTAGCTATACAAATAGGGAAATAGGCAGGCAAGAATACAAGAAGAAAAGGGCATGCAGCTTGAATCAATTTTGTTTTGAAATCAGGAGTACTTGCACTTGCCAAAATTCCCCTACTATTAATCAAAATCTGTCATGCATGTTATTGAAGAGTATCTAAATTCTAGAAAATGTTCCACTAAGTTAGACATTTGGTCTAATTTATGACCTCAGAAAAATAACAAAAGGAAGTAACACTATGAAATGCCTCAGCAGGCATCATATCTCATGTAAAGGGATTCAATGGGACTCAAACAGAGCTTGTCAATTTCTGTTCCCATCTTTATACCAACTACTTCCTCAAATTTGCAAATTATATTAATTCAGATGTAACGAGGACATCTCACATAGCTCCTTCACCTCTCATTTCCAGTGCTTTCTTAAATCTGCTCTGGGTTCAGTCTTTTAATCTAATTTACACAATCATAATTTGTAACCAAACCAAACTCACAAAACAAGATCAAATCAAGTCCATTGCGTGAACCATTATTTGTCTGAATAGATGAAACAGTGATCTAGTTTACCCGGAGTTCAGAAGTCAATTATGAACTAGTGGTGGAGAATGCTGTTATATCCAAGGGCCCATCTAGACAGGCCCTATATCCCAGGATTAGATCCCAGGTTTTCTGCTTTAAACTGGATTGTACGAGTCCCTACTGCCAGATAATCTGGGATAAACAGAAAACCTGGGATCCGATCCTGGGCTATAGGGCCAGTCTGCAATCAACCCATAAAGAGATTGATTTGGCCCTTGTGTCATGAAAAAAAACACACTATCTGAAGCCAAAAAAGTGTCTGCAGGAATAATGGTCTTGGATCTTTAGCTAACCTCAGAAATCAAAGAAACTTTGTGCATGTTTAATGCACAAGGAAGAAATCAGGGAAGACAGAACATAATCAATCCCCCGGTAGCAAATGAGTGCCAGCAGGACTGCTGACTTGAAGGTTGGATTGCTGACCTCGAAAGTTGCCGGTTCAAATCTGGGGACAGAGTGGATGAGCTCCTCCTGTTAGCTCCAGCTCTCCATGAAGGGACATGAGAGAAGCCTCCCACAAGGATGGTAAAAACATCAAAAAAATAAACACCCAGGCACCCCCTGGGCAACGTCCTTGCAGATGGCCAATTCTCTCACACCAGAAGCGACTTGAGTTTCTCAAGTCGCTCCTCACGCACACACAAAACCCCCAATCCCAACCAGGCAGAACCAACAAATAGTTGTTATGAGGGGCTGAGCAAAAGTTTGAGTTTGAAAAATTGAAGATAGAGCAAGTTACTTTACTTACGCAATTGCTGGCATGTAGATAGAAAACTTGCTTAGGAACTCTGTGAGACTGTAAGGCTCTTTGCAACGAATACATTCCTCCAGGCCTTTTACGGTATCTGCATTAAGGTGTATTCCTCTTTTCCTAGAAGTTTTTCAAAATACACATTTCAGTTGGCAAAGGTTTACTTGGTGTGCTGAGAAGACAAATGATAGAAGTAGAGCCCTAGATAATGTGCCACCCAGTCCCTGATTCAGCTTGTGGAACTTCCTGGATCTACAAATTTTCTCATTGGGTGCATTTATCTTGTAGAATTAATGCAATTTGACACTTTTAACTGTCAAGGCTCGATGCTATGGAATCATGGGGGATGTAGTTTCACAAGATATTTAGCTTTCTCTGGTGCCTCACCAAACTGAAGCTCCCAGGATTCCATTGCATGGAGCTATAGTAGTTCAGGTGTTGTCCAACTGAATTAATTCTACAGTGTACCTGAATCTTCTGTCTCCATCTCCTGAACAAAGAAGTCTATAAATAGGGTTTGGAGCACATAATTCCAACTATTGTACAGAATACTCATTTAGCTTAACTTTTGTAACACAAAATAACATTTCTTGGCCTCATGTTAAAGGAAATGTTTTTAACAGTCTGACGACAGGTTTACAACACTTAGTGTTTTTCCGTATCTGTTCCACATGACCTGGTCAAATTGCTCATCCCTATTTAAACAATAAGAATTTATCTTCAATTGGTAAAGTGTAGAAAGAAGTATCAGTTTAAATATACTGTACGAAGAAGTAAATCCAGCATTGTGCAAATACTGTATCACATGAAGGTACATAAGTAAAATACAGATAAGAATATGGCTGTTTGTTCAGAAATGCTGAGAATTTTTAGCATGGATTATGTGTCATCATTAACAACTAAACTTAATTATCACAATTGTGAAATGAGGTATAAAATTTCTTTCTTGGAGTACCTTTATTGATAATTTACATATACTTGTTCATGCCAGGTATGTCCATACTCTTTCTCATGTTGTTGTTGTTCATTCGTTCAGTCATCTCCGACTCTTCGTGACCTCATGGACCAGCCCACGCCAGAGCTCCCTGTCGGCCGTCACCACCCCCAGCTCCTTCAAGGTCAGTCCAGTCACTTCAAGGATGCCATCCATCCATCTTGCCCTTGGTCGGCCCCTCTTCCTTTTGCCTTCCACTTCCCCCAGCATAATTGTCTTCTCTAGGCTTTGCTGTCTCCTCATGATGTGGCCAAAGTACTTCAACTTTGTCTCTAGTATCCTTCCCTCCAATGAGCAGTCGGGCTTTATTTCCTGGAGGATGGACTGGTTGGATCTTCTCGCAGTCCAAGGCACTCTCAGAACTTTCTCCAACACCACAGCTCAAAAGCATCGATCTTCCTTCGCTCAGCCTTCCCTAAGGTCCAGCTCTCACATCCGTAGGTTACTACAGGGAATACCATGGCTTTGACTAGGCGGATCTTTGTTGGCAGTCTGATGTCTCTACTCTTTACTATTTTATCGAGACTGGACATTGCTCTCCTCCCAAGAAGTAAGCGTCTTCTGATTTCCTGGCCAGTCTGCATCTGCAGTAATCTTTGCACCTAGAAATACAAAGTCTGTCACGGCCTCCACATTTTCTCCCTCTATTTCCCAGTTGTCAATCATTCTTGTTGCCATAATCTTGGTTTTTTTGATGTTTAGCTGCAACCCAGCTTTTGCGCTTTCTTCTTTCACCTTGATTAGAAGGCTCCTCGGCTCCTCCTCGCTTTTGGCCATCAGAGTGGTGTCATCTGCATATCTGAGGTTGTTAATGTTTCTTCCAGCAATTTTCACCCCAGCTTTGCATTCATCAAGCCCCGCACATCGCATGATGTGTTCTGCATACAAGTTAAAAGGTTGGGTGAGAGGATGCAGCCTTGCCATACGCCTTTCCCAATCTTGAACCAGTCTGTTGTTCCGTGGTCAGTTCTTACTGTTGCTACTTGGTCCTTGTACAGATTCCTCAGGAGAGAGACAAGGTGGCTTGGGATGCCCATCCCACCAAGAACTTGCCACAGTTTATTATGATCCACACAGTCAAAGGCTTTAGAATAGTCAATGAAGCAGAAGTAGATGTTTTTCTGAAACTCCCTGCCTTTCTCCATTATCCAGCGGATATTGGCAATTTGGTCTCTTGTTCCTCTGCCTTTTCTAAACCCAGCTTGAACATCTGGCAACTCTCTCTCCATGTATTGCTGGAGTCTTCCTTGCAGGATCTTGAGCATTACCTTACTGGCATGAGAAATAAGGGCCACTGTACGGAAGTTGGAGCAGTCTTTCGCATTTCCCTTTTTTGGCATGGGGATATAAGTTGATTTTTTCCAGTCTGATGGCCATTCTTGTGCTTTTCATATTTGCTGGCATATGGCATACATCACCTTGACAGCATCATCTTTTAAGATTTTAAACAGTTTAGCTGGGATCCCGTCGTCTCCTGCTGCCTTGTTGTTTCTCATAGTTCAAATTCTTTCTCATAGTTTGATTTATTTATTTATTTCATGTCAAAACCATTGCATAAATAAGTATAAAACTAATTAAATAGAGGAAACTCAAGCGGCTAAATAATTTTAAACCAAAAACGGGCAACAGGCATTATCTGCATATTTAAACAATTTTTCCTCTGTGCATGAGGCAGGGCATTGTGGGCGAGCATACGGATGCGGAGTTGTTTTTTCTGCTCCACAGTCACACAAGGTGGAGGATTCTTCTAGGTAGTGCCATTTTGCCAGTTTATCTTTTGATCTGCCAATTCCACTTCTGAGTCTGTTCAGGGACTTCCAAGTTGCCCATTCTTGGTTTGCCCCCAGAGGAAGACCCTCATCGAGGGCCATCGAGTTGGAATTGCTTAGTTTTTCTGCCCACAGGGATATTCTTGATGTTACTAGGGGGGAAAATAAGAGGAGTGGTGGTTCTCATGAAGCTTTTCCTTGATTTGAGTCTACTGGAATGAGGCTGATAGCCATCCAGTGGATGGCTTTCACAGTGTTCAACCTTATTTCTCTCACAATTAGCAGCAACTTCCCGTCGCACATCAGGGGAGGCAATGCCAGCAAGCTTGTAGACTCTATCAACAAGTGTAGGTTTGAGACATCCTGTGATTTTTCTACATGTTTCATGTATTCACCTGCATCGCGTGGGCAAACTTGTGCCAATCAGGGCAGGCATACTCAGCAGTTGAGTAAGATTAGGCCAGAGCTGATGTTCTTATTAATTTTGGGTCTGCACCCCATGTACTGCCAGTAAATTTCCACAGAATGTTATTGCGTGCAGCTACTTTGTGCTTGGTGTTCATACAGTGCTTCCTAAATGTTTGTGTTCAATCTAAAGTGACACTGAGATATTTAGGATGGAAACAGTGTTTGAGCACTTGGCCTTCCCAGGCATCTTTCAATTTCCTGTTAGCTTCACGATTACGTAAGTGGAAAGCACACTGTAGTTTCATCATCCACTTTGATTGGGCTATAGAAACCATGTCTCCGTAAATAAAACCATCTTACTTGAGAAGTCCTCCTTTGTGAATAGGCATTCCTCATTCATTGAGTTATGAGAGAATATTTTTCCATTGAACAAGGAACTTTATTACATAAACTACATTGAGTAATTTCCATTGCTTTACAATGCAATTTACTAGGCCATGACCCTTGTCCTCCCTGCCCTCTCTCAGCTGAATGATACTTGGATTTTGCCATAATAGTGGAGTGCAATCCAGTATTGCTGTTGGCATTTGCAAATGAATAATCACATCTGGAAAATGTTTTAGAACAATCACACACCATTATGAGAATATAATGGATCAGTGAATGCAAGAACTCCAGCTTACTGGTTATAAGGAGCATGCTGATGTGAGAGCCATGACATTATTGTGACCTAGAGGTTTTCAGTTTGCAATATTAAATAGACTTTTTGGGGAACAAAATCTACTGAACATAATGAAGCAGAGTTCTGAGTAAACATGTGCAGTATATGATTGTGCTGCTAATGAAAGTACATTTCCTCTGTAAGAAATAGAAAATAAATATTATGCTCTACTGGAAACACAATCAGAATCAATAAGGAACACTTTGTAAATAAAGACTGACTGAAGTATAATAGTTAAAAGGAAAAAAGCGAGATGAAAACTCATACCCAACTGTTTACTCACTTGGCAAAATATAAAATAGTTTCGGGTTTAATGGCCCCATCCAGGTGGACGTGAAGTTCTACCTGCAACAGAGTTGGAAATATATACATTGATAAAATAGTTTTCACATATCTCAACTATTGCCATAAGGGAAGAAAACACATTTATTTTGCATATAAAAGTGCTGTTGGCAGAGAGATCCTTTCTCCATCCTGCAAACAAAAAGGTAATATCTGAAAATTGGCAAAGCTTAACATTAGCTTGGACAGCAGCATAAAGAACTATCAAATCTAAACAAAAGGGGAAAGTGTGAGAAATCTTTTTCATGAATAAACATAAATTCACCTACATGGCTCCCCATGGCATCTTTTAACAAGAAAACTACTATAATGTTGATTTTAGTCTCTCAAGATTGGGCAAATATTGTGGAGCATTCTGTACCCAAAGTTTGTATAGTTTCCCCTAATTATACTTTATTATTATTTTAGTTATCACAGTATTATCTCAGAATTTCTCTTGAAGGTATTCAAGAAAGCATACATGGTTTTCCTAATTTTATATTCAAAATAATATTGTGAACATTTGTCTTGGAATATTTTGACTAAGGAAGTAATAAACCTATGTAAGTTAAATCTAACAGTAGTTTTATTACCACTTACATAATAAAAAGTAGTAAGATATAAAAATTCAAAAAGAAAAGCTAAACAACATGAGGTAAACACTGATGGTTTTTAAAACAGAGGCCAATTATCACTATGACTGCAGTTAAAAGAATTGAAATGAAGATGAATATTTTCAGACTGATGGGAACTAACGGCAATTCTAATAAGAATGCATATTACAATCTGGAAGCAATATAGGAAAAGAGTCCTCTCGTCCATCAAATACAGTCTCCAGAGAGAGTGGTCTTCTCATGCACATTTTTGAAAATCACCAGGATGAGAGGTCAGTTGCTATCTGAAACTTCTACAGAACTGGAAGTTGGCAGATGTATTGGGAGAGAGTTGCCAGGTCCAGAAGAAAGCCTGACAGGAAGGGAAGGAAGCAGCTGGAAATCTAGCAAGCAGAAAGTGTAGATTAAGGCTGCATAGATCAGGAGTATCCCAGGCTCCTGTATTTCAAAGCCAAAACATGAAACCAAGAGAAATCAAGACAGAGGCCCTAGCTCAATGGTTCTTAACCTGTGGGCCGCGGGCCATGAGGATGAAAATCTGTTCCATGAGCCTCCTTCCTCTTTATTTCTGCTCCTTTTGCACCTCTTACCACTCCTTCCCTGTCACTGGCCATGGCATATGTTCTGTATCAGACACTAGAGTTGATGTGGTCTATCCAATGCAATTTCCTGAATCAGCATCCCAAATAACCAAACCGAATCTAAAGTTGACCAAAAACTGATTCGTAACCCTTTTGGTACTAATGTTGGAGAGTGATCCCTGATCAAAGTGGTCAAGTGGTCCCTGGTCAAAGTGATCTGTGTTCAAGTGGTCCCTGGTTTTAAAAAAAAGGTTGGGAACTACTGGCTTAGCTAAAAAAAAGTGTCCCCAGATCTGGCAGAGAGTAAGACATTCCCTCTCAATTTCTCAGGAACTCTGGCTCTCTCTGTTTGTATGCATATTGTATGTGCTTTCACATTGCCTATTGACTAATGCTGACCCCTTGAATTCCATAAGGTTTTCCAAAGCAATGAATACTCAGAGTGGCTTGTCAGTTCCTTCCTTCTGAAATATAATCTGCAGCATCTGGTATTCAATTGGTCTTCCATCCAAGTACTAACCGGGGCTGAGGTGCTTTTAATAGACCATTTGCTTCTGGAAAATTATAAAGTCTCTGTTGCAGCTACAATGACACATATCTACACTGGGTCACATAAACCTTGATGCTTTCTCTCTCCACAAGGACTTTGAGATGAAAGCCAGGGTAGTTCATGCAGCAAAGATGTCTCCTACCTAGCCTTGGTGTCAGCTGCCATTATTTAACTAGACAATTTGAGAGAGGAAGAAGGTGGCAATGCTGGGTGCATCTTAAAGCAGAAGTAGCACAGAGTATTATTATTATCATTCCTACTATTATTACTGTATTTTTATATAAGTTAGCAGTCTCCCTGAGATTTCTCCCTTTACCTTTCAGCTCTGAGACCCATCACCTGGTGTCTGGAAAGCCTACTGACCTCTGGTGACATGGGATACAGTCAGATGGGTATAAAGCTAATACAGCAAAAACATCAAATCATCCGGGCGTCCCCTGGGCAACGTCCTTGCAGACGGCCAATTCTCTCACACCAGAAGCAACTTGCAGTTTCTCAAATCGCTCCTGACACAACAAAAAAAAAAAGGAAAAAAAAGCATATGATGAAATTATTTCTTTTGTTCGGAGCCAAGAAAAACCATCACAAAGCATTTATTTGCACTTAGCTTATTGAACGTGCCTATGCCATTCTATCAATTATCATTATCAACTTCTAACTGAATAATGTTTCATTTCAAAGCAGGCGCTCTCCGATATCTCTGTATAAAAGCTAGCTTATATAACAAAAAGTAAACAAAGAGAATTCAAAGAAAACAATTTGATCCGGGAATGTGTAGAGGTCTCAGAAAAAGTAGGAAACCACAAAGATATTCAATTCTTACTGCTGGACAGATTAACGTCTCTGTTCCACCAGAAAGTACCTGTCATTAGAGTCATTTGATTTTGTACAGCAAAACTGCGCAACTTGCGCTAGCAAGTTCCTGTAAACAGCTGGGGCAAAATCCTCCTGCCTAACATATTGTAAATAGAATGAATTGGGGGTTATAATGAGGCCACAAGAGAAACTTACGTAATAGTTTGGGGTAAAGCTTCCAGACACATCCTTTGTCAGGAAGAATAGTTTCTATGGGCATCTAATAAACAATAGCCTTTTGATATTATTCTGGAATGTTGTAGATAGAACAAGGGTGCTCATATAAGAGAACAGGCCTTGTTTCCCCAATTTAGATGTTTGTCAAGAGCATTGAGAGGGCAGCATGCGGTTATTGTTTATATTCTGAAATAGATATATACAAGGGCATCATTTTTTGAAAGTGCTTAAGGCCTCTAATGGTCATAATCTGGTCCTGATCAGGGATCTCCAGGTTCAGCTTGGGAAGAATCTAATGTAACCCGAGATCCACTGCCAGGCAGATATGACAGTATTTGGCTAGAACAGGAGTTCTCAAACGTTTTTGGCCACAAAGCCCTTTTTGAAGCGAAAGTTTCTTGTGGAACCCCAAGAAATGCTTGGAGGGGGGAATGGGGACCGTGGAGCCCCATAGCATGCTTTGCAGAGCCCCAAGGACTCTACAGACTACACTTTGAGAACTGCTGCGCTACAGCAGTGGTTCCCAACCTTTTTTCTGACCAGGGACCACTTGAGCAGAGATCACTCTCTAACATTATTACCAAAAGGATTAAGAATCAGTTTTTGCTTAACTTGATTTGGTTTGGTTATTTGAGGTGCTGATTCAGAATATTGAATTGTATAGACCACATCAGCTCTAGTTTCTGATACAGAACATATGCCATCTGCTCACCCACAGAAAATAATATGTACTCATCTAAAGTTGATGTGTTCTATCTAATGCAGTTTGCTGAATCAGCGCCCCAAATAACCCCAGGAACAGGTCTAAAAACAAAGACACCAAGAATTTTTTTTTTTGGTCAAGCTGTGTTATTATCCATGGATTTTGTTAACGTTAGTGTAAAAAAAGAAAAGAAAGGAAGGGAGATGAGGTTGAAAAATATACAAAAAGCAGAACACGAGACTCAAGAAACTGTCCCTAATGGCGTTCTCTTGCCCCCTCACGACAGCCACATGGCCACGAGGAAGGGGACATGGTCCATGAGGCGTTGCAATGGTGTAGTAACGGTGAGGTTATGGACCATATTTTAGTTCTTGTGGACCAGTGGTGGTCCATGGACCATAGGGAACTACTGGGCTAAAGGGACCATTTCTTTCACTCGGTAGAAGGCAAATTCTTGTGCTCATATGAAGTCCAGTTGTGGCCAATAGCATTAATTACTGTAGCTGCACAGCTCTTTAAATAATAATAATAATAATAATAATAATAATAATACTTTATTTATACCTTGCCACCATCTCCCCAACGGGACTCGGGGCAGCTAACATGAGGCCAAGCCCAAAAATTATAATAAAGCAAAATAAAATACATACAACAAAATATCATCAAATAAAGCGCAAACAATAACAAAATAATACAATAGAAAAACACAAATTATAAAATGATAAAATACTTGAACACAATGGGCTGGGCCAAATGCAATGGATAAAATTATGAAACCACTGGGTGAGATAGATAGAGTAGTGTATCTAGTGGGAGGCTCAGATGGGATAAACAATGGGGTTAATCTTCACTGAGGGATGAGATAAGTGCATCAGAAGGACAAATTTGTACTGGGATGGACATGGTATGGGTGTTTGTTATTCATTCCTCAAAAGCACACCGCAAAAGCCAAGTTTTTAGGCTCCCTGATCTCCCTGGGTAGCGAGTTCCAGAGCTGAGGGGCCACCACGGAGAAGGCCCTCTCCCTCGTCCCCACAAGCTGCGCTTGCGACAGAGGAGGGAGCGAGAGGAGAGCCTCCCGCGAAGATCGAAGAGATTGTGCAGGTTCGTAGAAGGAAATGCGATCATGGAAGTAGGTGGGCTCCAAACCATTCTGGCCTTTGTAGGTGATAACCTGCACCTTTAATAGGGACCGGAAAATGAACGGTAGCCAATGGAGCTCCTTAAACAGGTATATACATGAATGACTGAATAAAGGTATAGATGCACAAAGTAATAAAAAGATCCTGTCATAGTTCCCTGCTCAACAGGCTTTTTCATGAAAAAATAGGTTAGGATGTTGCACAATCAAGGAAGACAACAGATCTGTTTACTCAATGCCTCATACAACAAAGAAAGAAGGTCAATCTGGGGTGAGCTATCTCTTTACCTTGCTTACATTACTGACATCCTGGGGACTAAACTAACGTCAAGGGAGCTATTGTCCTGAATTGTGCCACAAGAACATAGAGTTATATTGAATTCATGCAAAGTATAACCTATAT